CATTCAGCTCGACTGCTCTGAGCATTCTGTAGCCTAACATAGAATTTGTGTGTGCTTGCAAGTGTAGAGGGTGAGAGAGACTGAGCAGAGAAAGGGAAAGGGACAATGTCAAGGGGAAGAAGCAAACTCTCTGCTCTACTGTACAGTTGTGCGCTACTATACGGCTGTGCGATATAGCCCCAAAATGATATCACAATATGAAATATTGCGCTTTTATGACTTTAAATTCCATTGTATTCCTTGTGTTGTAACACTTTTTATGCATTGTTTTTTGTGTTAAATAAGACTTGCACTGTTTGTAGATCTACAAGAGCCTTGAATTTGAGCAATTTCGACTGGAGAAATAAAGGATTTTTATGCTCCCTATAACCCACTCCATGCATGATTCGTATTGTTCTTTTCTGAAGTATGAACAGTGAATCGTTGTAGTGGTGTAGTTATTTCCCCATACCTCAACACAATATGTGAGATATGGAAGAACTAATGCACTGTACAATATACGAAGTGAGTGATAATCAAAAACAGATTTTGCTCTATACAAGAAGGTTATACTTCTGGCCAGTTTTGCTTGAACGTATTTGACATGAGATTTCCAGTTATCGGCCGATATCGATAATTATTGATCCTTAAAAAAACAAAACATGTATTAATTACATTTGTTGTGTCGGCTAACACGTTAGCAGCCCTTGTTTTACAGTCACGGGGGAATGAGAATTCAGGCTGGAGGCATATGTTCTCAAGTATGGTGTCCCCCATTGTCAGTCCTGGTTAAGCTCTTGTTTTGGCTGTTATCGACGGTCTTGTGTCCCCGTGACGGCTCCGTGCGGCTCTCTGGTAGCCGCTCGTGCTTCCAGAGGAAAAAGTTAATCTCTTGCTTTTGCCGCATGCATCAAGTCTACAGCGCCGCACATGCTAATCCTCGCACCGATGTGCATAACCATTGACACGGCATTGAAACGCGAAGCAATCTATAGATCCATAGCATGGTGCGGTTGTTTTTTTTTTTTTGCATTTGCTAGAAGGTTTTACAGTTCATGCTCGGCCGCGATAGGTCGAGAAGCCTCTGCCTACGTCCCCCAGAATGCCACGCGCTTCTGATTTGACTTAACTTCCTGTGTTTTCTTCCTGGTTTTACTTCCTGTTTTTTCTAACGACGTGAAGTTAAAATATAGAACATTCTATTGACCCTTTTTTCTATTGCTATCGCACACGTGTCTACGGAATTTCTGTGTGAGGAGTTTTACCATAAAACAATTTCAGCAGACATTAGGCCTGGACTCCACCGGGCGCGTCTCCGTTGACGCGCGTTGGCTGCTGCCTGTCAGACGTCCGTAAAACGGAATAGTGGCCAAACCGGCTGCAGCTGTGCGGAGCTCTGGCTGTGCGTTTAACAGCACCATGATAGATATAGAAGAAGCGGTGTGTGATTTGCATGAGCTGTGGCTATGATCTAAGCAAAGCACGACATATTGAAGCATTGAGGACGTCGCGATGGATGAGGCAAAACTTATTGAAAGCAATTGGAAAAAGGGGAAAGAGAAAAGAACTCCAACATATCCAGTGTTGTGAGATCTGTCTCTCATAAGTGCAGCTCTGTGGGCAATGTGTGTGTGTGTGTGTGGATGGGAGTGCGCGGTGGTGAGGAAAGAGCACCTGGGAGGTAGAGTGGACAGAGCGAGAGGAAAAAGAGCGGGGGGGAATGTTAAGATTAGCGTATTAACATTACACAAAAAATAAATGGTAGATTTACGATCAGGAAACAATTATTTCAATTTAATACATGAAAAAATTACACACATTTGTTAATGATCATTGTCATTAACAAATACTTATAACCAAGGACTACAGCATATATCAATACATGTTTAATAATGTGGTAAATATATTTTTCCATTGCATTCTCAATGGAAAACGGACCCGACATGCGTTGACGGACGGAACAAATAGGATTGTTTCTATTTCGTCCGTCCACGTCCGTTGCACCCTCCGTTGACGGAATGCGTCGGACGGACGCTTGTTGGAGGCAGTGGAGCCACTTCCATTCACCCTCATGGAGATAACGGAGACGGAGATGAAACGGACACGTTTGGACGGATCCGTCGTCCGTTTTACGCGCCCGGTGGAGTCGGGGCCTACGTTCATGTTACAGTATACGACAATACTACTCATAGACTGCTTTTTGGTTCTGAGGCTTTGCGGGGCATGGTGTTGTAATGTAGAATTGGTGTTTCCAGATTTTTTTCAAGTTTTCTCAATAATTTAGATTATGTTATTGAACTGTCCAGTCCTTTACATGTAATACTTACGCGTTTGAGTTGTGGCATTTTACCTTCAGCTAGTGTTTTCTTCTAGTGTTGTATGCACAGTGGGGCCAAAAAGTTTATTCAGCCACCACTTGTCAACTTTAAGGAAAAATTGCATCTTTTTTTGTGACAGGAAGAATGATTTTGTTTAGTCTTTTATGTATGCAATGAAAAGCGTACCTAATATCGAACCCTGTGGTACTCCACTTTTGATAGTTATGTCTTGGTCTGTTAATTTGCGTTTATTGCTCTATCCTCCGATAAATGGCTTTTGAACCAACCGAACGCAACTCCTGTGACTTATTATTTGCTGAGTTTCCCCAGGAAAATCTTGCATTTGTCAATACAACAAGATCTAAAACAGCCATGCAATTTGTGCCTTTTCTAAAACTATACGGGCGGCATGGTGCTGAGTGGATAGCACTCTCGCCTCTCATCAAGAAGATCCTGGGTTCAAATTTTGGTCGGATGAGGGCCTTTCTGAGTGGAGTTTGCATGTTCTCCCCATGTCTGCGTAGGTTTCCTCCAGGTGCTCTGGTTTCTCCTACCACTAAAAACATGGACTCTAGGTTAAATCCTCCAGCTCCAGTAGTCCTCCAGTAGTAGTACTGCTCCTGACGTGAGCCTTAGTGGCATCAGGATGGGTCAAATGCGGAGGACAAATTTCCCTCAGGGGAAAATAAAGTTTGCATTTACATGGAGTTAGTATCCACTGGGCCTCATATAAATCATATAAAACATGATCAAATACTGTGGGGGAAAAAGACCGTAGTGCAAATATGGGTGATCATTTTGTATAATATTTTCGTCCCCAGATCCCCTTGATTTAAAAAAAAAAAAAAAACACTTTTCCATAAAGCAGTGAGTGATTACTACAACAGACCAGTGGGTGCTATGAATTTTGCGGTTTCACTACAGATCACTCCCTCTATATGGGAGCTTTTCATTTCTGTAATCCGTTGAGATATTGATCTTATTTTTTCTAGTATAGTAGAGTTTAGGCTGTCAGTAATTTCTTTACTAAAGAGATTTTAAGCATAATCTGGAGTTGTGCTTTGATACAGCCTTTAGATGTAAGGTTAACATACAGTGCACTCAATTGTTTTTAGTTTACCCGGTTTTGTTTGTGTTACCAGATCTGTGAAAAGCAAATGAGGAAAGGATCTGTAATATCTGACAGAAGAATACATATTTTGTTTCTCAAGGTATATGAAAGGGAAAGAATAGGAATAAAGACATTTTATGATGTATATTGAAGTCACCAAGAAGAAAAAAAATTCTTCATTTATATTGTCTAGAGTCCCAGGTTGTTCAAAAAGCGATTTGCCTCTGCATCTGGGGATATACATTACTGACCAAAAGTTTGGACACACTTTCTCATTCAATGATTACCCTTTCTTTTCATGACTATTGCCTGTAGATCCATACCCAGGCTGTGTAAGGGCTCTTTGACCAATAAGGAGAGTGGTGGGTGCTGGGCCAGATGACCCGGCCTCCAGTCACCGGACCTGAACCCAATCCAGATGGTTTTGGACCTGAACCCAATCTAGATGGTTTTGGGGCTGGACCACAGAGTGAAGGCGAAAGGGCCAACAAGTGCCAAGCATCTGTGGGAACTCGGACCATTTCAGGTCCTCTTGAAGCTCATCAAGAGAATGCCAAGAGTGTGTGAAGCAGTAATCAGAGCAGAAGGTGCTACTTTGAAGAACCTAGAATATAAGACATATTTTCAGTTGTTTCATTTTTTTTTTTTTAGTATGTACATAATTCTACATACGTGAATTCATAGTTTTGATGCCTTCAGTGTGAATCTACAACTTTCATAATCATGAAAATAAAACACTATTTGAATGAGAAGGTGTGTCCAAACTTTTGGTCTGTTTTGTGTGTGTATATATATATGTGTGTGTGTGTGTGTATATATATATATATATATTTCTAAACAATACATTACAGGTTATATATATATATATATATATATATATAAAAAGCAAAGGAAGGTTTCTCACCCATCATCTGTACTTCTTAGCAAGTTTTCCCGACGTTTCGTCCTCAACCTGGGGACTTCTTCAGGGAATGAATTCTCGGACCGCGCGTTGGAGATTTATAACCTATGGGTGTGGTAAGCCACACCCTAATCCTGATACTAACTCGTAAACAATCTACGGTCTGCTTGATGTAGAAGGGAGCAGGTCTAGACCTGCTCCCTTGGTGAGACCTGGGTGAGACCTGGTCTTACCCTGGTGAGACCCAGGTCCCTTAGACCTGGGTGAGAAACCTTCCTTTGCTTTGACTAATCCCTGTACGACTGAGGGCTTACACAAACTTATATATATATATATATATATATATATATATAATGTTTAAGCATATAAAATGTCTCCGGTATCTAGATTCGTAATGGCAGGTTCTGAAAGTTGGCTGCTTCTTTCTGGAGAAGGGGGAAGGTGACTGAAGTACGGCCGCAAAGATGCTACAGCTCATTCTAGACTCATCAGGAAGGCCTATATAGATCATTTTATATTTCCCAATTAACGCTGCAAGCAGGAAATGGGAAAACTGACCCAAACGATTAAAATGGCTGTGTGATGAGAACATTAATTTGTGTATATTGTAGGTGTTTGTTGAAAATGCCATCATAAATTCATTAGGCATGCACAGCAATAGCTGATACCTCTTTGCTTCTGCTTTCTTTAGATGGGGATGTCAGGAAGTCTCTTTGGCCAGCAGTATGGACAAAGTGGGCTTCAGCAGATGACCCCTGCAGGAGTCAATGCCCAACAATTACAAAATAAAGTGGCTCTGGCAAATAACCTCAGCCAGTTTTCTGGAGACCTTAAGGGGTCTTCAAATACCCTGAACATGGTAAGTCACATGGTATTTTATGTTCTCTCAATCTACTATTTTAGCCTTTGGAGTTTTACATTATCCTTTTGCTAATGTTTTTGCTATCACAGACTCAGCAGCAGGCCGCAGTCGGGGGCGGGGTGCCGGGGGCTGGTCCAACAGCAGACCCAGAGAAACGCAAACTTATCCAGCAGCAGCTGGTTCTGCTGCTTCATGCCCATAAGTGCCAGCGGCGGGAACAAGCCAACGGAGACATGGGGGCCTGCAGTCTGCCCCACTGTCGCACCATGAAAAACGTCCTCAATCACATGACCCACTGCCAGGCGGGAAAAACCTGCCAAGGTAAGCTAGTGTGGTGGATGATAGAAAGTAAATTACATTGAGTGGACTGTATTTTGTTCCAGTAGTACTTTTTTCCCCAAAGTTGTTGCTGTGTTTAGCTATTAAGGATTTTACCACTATAGTCCTGTTTTTAAATTTCAAAACACTCTCATAACACATTCTCTCTAAACGATAATATATAACACCTTTTCATAGAGCTGGGCGATTCACTCCGTTAGAAAAAACAGGAAGAAAACACAGGACGTAAAGCCGAGTCAGAAGCGCGCGGCATTCTGGGTAGGGATGTAAATCGGCGACCGGTTAACCGGTGGTTGACCGTCACAGCGTTAACCGGTCAAAGCTGTCGTTTAAAAAAGAGAAAAAGGGGAGAGGGGAGGTCTCTTAATAACGCTATTTTAAGCCCTATTTGCACGGTGTGACGAGCGGGTCTGTATCTAGCTGTGTGCGCCCAAGTATTATAAACTCCGGGACGACTCTCACGCCGCACGAGCCACATATGCACACACACACACACACACACTTTCCCCCTCTCCATACGTAACATCCACACGCATCATCTCTCCCCTCTGTTACCGTCAAAGTTGCACACTGGCACGGGTCAGAACTACATTGGAGCTTACATTTACACACACACACATATACATACACACACACATACACACACACACATACACATACACATACACACACACACACCGGTCTGTCGCGCTCCTCTGTGTCACGGAGCCCAAAGGATTCGCGCAAATACGCGGCTCCAGTCAAACCACATGGAACATGTTTGTGTTTATGGTCCTCGGGATCAGCTCCACACACATCACTTGTATTTAAACTTTTGTGAAGACCTGTGAGACGCGGCTCGTCACTCGCTGCTCTGACCATGTGAACGAGCCGTCGTTTGCTGCTAGAAAGTTTTGGTATTAACCCGCAGCACAGCAGAATGGGAAGATTAAAAAAGCAGTTCTCTGTGCGCAAAGGTGCCGGAGCTGTTGCGGGTTTTGGCGCCGCTGTCTCAACTCTGATCCAGTAGAACGCAGAGCTGCACTTATGAAAAGTACGCGGCTCGAAATGGCTGTTATTTCAAAGAGCGTGGACTATTTTAAACTACGCGGTTAACCGGTTTCAACCGGTTAATGAGGCTCGGTGGTCGGTCATGAAAATTCATAGTTTTTTACATCCCTAATTCTGGGGCACGTAGGCAGAGGATTCTCGACCTAAACCAGGACTGACAATGGGGGACACAGTGTGCCTCCAGCCTCATTCCCCCGTGACTGTAAACAAGGCTGCTAACGTGTGTTAGCCCACACAACAAATGTATTTATTTAGGTTAAAAAAAAAAAGGGGGCGGGAGTTTGGTTACTGACAGAGGACTATAGTACATGTTTTTAGTGGCAGGGGAAACTGAAGTACCCAGAGGAAACCTACTGTATGTAGACACAGGAAGAACATGCAAACTCCATGAAGAAAGGCTTTGTCTTGAGGTGGAATCAAACCCAGAACCTTATCGCTGTTGCAGCCCATGTTTAATAGGCTCCAGTACAATTGTTCTGCACAGTTAGTTTTGTCCAAATATATATATATATTTAATATATCCACCAGCGGTGTGAAGGAGTTATGCCCTGTGAAAAGTCTCTTCTTGTATTGATAAGCTTATATAAGTACTGTATATGCATTATTATTGCCTAAAATGTTTCTAGATATCATCAACATTTTTCCATTATCATCCACGTTTTATTTAATTGACAGGCCTACTAGGTCTGACTGTTAGAATTTCCAAAAGTATGAACAATGAAGGGATAAAAAAAAGATTGAACCATACTATAATGAAGTTAATACGTTTGGCCCACTTCAGGTATTGAGAAGTAATATTTTGATAAAAAAAAGTGGTGTAAATGTCATGTGCTGCTCATTGACATTTTCTTTCTGTAATTGAAATCTGCCCCATATATTCTTTTGAAATGGGCCAATGGGAGCTCATTGAGCCATGATAACAAGTGGACCAGTGGTGATGCGCAAGATAAGATAAGATGGACTTTATTGATCTCACACTGGAGAATTTACATGTCATATTTGGCATAGATAGAATCACGCATATTGCGCAAAAGACAGGAGTGTGCAAACATGTTAAAGGTTAAAAAATATAGTCTGTGCAGGATATATTATGTACAATAAATTAACGAAAGAGTGGCAATAGCAGTGCAGGTTTTTCAGTCCTAGTGATTTAAAGTGACTTATTGTACAGTCTGACAGTGGTCGGGATAAAGGCCCTATGGTAGCGCTCCTTCTTGCACTGAAGGTGTCTCAGTCTTCCACTGAAGGAGCTCCTCAGCTCCTCTACAGTCCTGTGCAGTGGGAGGTGTTGTCCATGATGGAGGTTACTTTGACTAGCACCCGCCTGTCCCTCACCTCCTCCACAGAGTCCAGGGAGCAGCCCAGAGCGGAGCTGGCCCTCCTGAACATCTTGTTGAGTCTACTCCTGTCCGCTCTGTGCTGCCCGGGGCCCAGCACACGGCAGCGTAGTGTATGGCAGACGCTACCACAGATATAGTCATAAAAGGTCCTGAGCAGAGGCCTGCTCACTACGAAGGACCTCAGCCTCCTCAGAAGGAAGAGGCGACTTTGGCCCTTCTTGTGCAGGGCGTTGGTGTTATGGGACCAGTCCAGTTTATTGTTAATGTGAACACGCAGGTAATTGAAGCTGTGCCCCAGCTCAATGTCCTCCAAAGTTCAGCGGCGGGTGGGAAAGTGGTTTTTTCCTTAAGTCGATTACCGTTCCTTCATCGTACTGGTGTTCAAGCACAAGTGGTTGTGCTCACACCAGTCAACAAAGTCCTTGATTACCGACCGATATTCCAGTTCGTTCCCCTCAGACACACAGCCCACGATGGCAGAGTCGTCGGAGAACTTCTGCAGGTGGCAGTTGTGTGTGTCGCATGTGAAATCTGAAGTGTAGATGGTGAAGAGAAACGGTGAGAGGACAGTGCCCTGAGGGGCCCCAGTACTGCAGACTACCACCTCAGACTCACAGCTGCACACCCGCACATGCTGTGGTCGGTCCGAGAGGTAGTCGATGGTCCATCCAGTGAGGTGAATGTCCACTCCCGCATCCTCCATCTGCCCGCGCAGCAGTGCCTGTCTGATGGTGTTGAAAGCACTGGAGAAGTCAAAAAACATGACCCTCACAGCGCTCCTTGCGGACTCCAGGTGCGAGAGCGTCTGCTGCAGCAAGTAGATGGCCGCGTCCTCTACTCCAATGTTGGGCCTGGAGCGGAGATGGGTGAGGATGAGCCGATCCATGGTCTTCATCAGGTGGGAGGTCAGTGCGACTGGTCTGTAGTGAGCCAGTTCCTTGGCATTCGCTGTTTTAAGAACCGGGATCATACAGGAGGTTGTCCACAGGACAGCGACCTTCTCCAGGCTGAGGCTCAGGTTGTACATGTAGCTGAGGACCTCAGAGAGCTGGTCTGCACAGGTCCTTAGCAGCCTGGGACTGATCCTGTCCGATCCTGTGGATTTCCTTTTGTTCAGTCGCTTGAGCTCACTCCTCACCTGGTCCGGTGTGATGAAGAGGGGGGAGTGGGGGGGGAGACCGGGGTGAACTGTCGGAGGTGGGGGCTGGGGATGTGGGGGCAGGGGGGCTTGGGGCAGTTGAAGGCAGTGTCTACTGGGCTGGAGAGTGCATCTCTCGGTTCTTGGTGGTTTACTGAAGCACAATCACTTGTTAACCTTTGATGCCTGCCCCAGCAGAGGGGGGGCTGTGGCTCTTAACTCCTGGTTTTAGTTTTAGGACTGGTCCTGCTTCAGCCTTGGGCTGATGCGTGTGCATCAACTCACATTGTAACACTCCCATGAGCTCTGTGGTTTGCCTGTGATTGATCATGTCCATCATGGGTTGCACCAGGACTTTTATTCAGTCCTGGTGCAGGTGTAAAGACTTGATTTCAATAATACAAAAAAAGTTTTCAAAAAAATGTATACAATTTTGCTCTCTGATGGACAGCAAAGGTTAACTTATGTGAATTTTTTTTTTGAGCCATAATAATGATAATTCAATGGAATATAGGATTTGTTTCTGTAATAAAATAACACCATAAACTATTACACAATACAGAAATGTATTGAAAGGTACATCATTCACAATATTTATGGTGCTTTATTATTACTATTATTATTATTATTATAAATAATTGAATATATATATATTTTTTTCTTCATCCAGTGGCCCACTGTGCATCGTCCAGGCAGATCATCTCCCACTGGAAGAATTGCACACGGCAGGACTGCCCCGTCTGCTTACCTCTGAAAAATGCCAGTGACAAAAGAAGTCAACAGGGTTTGTGGAACAGATCCAGTATAAAATCTTAAAATGGATTGTTTGCATTTGTTAAGCAATATGGAGCCATCTGCAGGCTGTGGCCTGGGCAGAGGATTCCTTCACAAAGGCTGGGCTTGTAATTTGACTCTGGGGGAGGGGCATTGTGGCTCTACTATTAGTGGGCTGGGCCTTATTTACAAACTTGTTTCTGATTGGTCTAAAGCACAAATGACGGATTTAAATCCCCACAGAGGGAGCATGCTCCCAAAGTGCTGCAGTAAACACAGGAAATAAATTTTTAGAATGTTCTATTATAATTCATGATATCAGGCATTTTCCTTGGTAACATTGTTACTTTGAAGGTTCAATATTCAAGCAACATAGGAAAAAGATTGGGGAGCTATATAAAAATAATATAAATAAAAGAAAATAGATTGTTTTTTTCTCAAGTTATAATACAAAACCAAATCATTTTGTTTGTCACTAGACCTGTGTTTATGTGCATTATTCAAATGTATACATATGTATCTCCAATATGTATCCATATTGCTTGCACAATTGAATTGGGGAGCGTACTTGTTGGCCCTTAGTTCATCTTAGTTTGAAAATAACGTTATGATGATGCTCTTTCTTTAGCTCTACTCAACTCTCCTGGAGCAGGATTGCAGAGTTCTGTCAACAATGTAGGCCCTGGCCAGCCTAATGCTACAGCCATAAACAGTGCGTCCACACATATGGACCCTAGTTCCATGCAGAAGGCTTTTGATGCTCTTGGTCTGACCTACGGGAACCAGCCCTCAGCTCAGGGCCAAAACCAATCCCCGGGATCACACAACCCCCAAACTTCCCAGCATCACAATATGAACTCTATAGGTATGTTTCTAGTAACGAGTGTTGTTATAGTGATATAGCTGTGTTATAGTGCTTCTATGTAATCAAACTTATGAATATTCTGTACCTCAGGTGCTAATCCAATGAGTAAAATGGGAGGAGGCATGGGTTTCCCATCTTCAGACCAGACTGGGCTGCTCCAAGACACTCTACCTGCTTCTCTCAAGTGAGTCCCTTTTAACCTGCGGTTCTGAATTAGTGGTACAGCTGGTGGTTCTCAAGCTCTTTCTAGTGGAACGCAAATGCCTTATCTTATTTGGAGTCATTTTGCATATCATATTACCACTATAAGAACTATCTAAATGTAAATGTAGCATGTGCTATGGCTTGGTTTAGCCTTAATTTAGATCCATAGCAATCCTGGTGTGGGTCTCGTATTCGGAAGGCCAAATTATTATGTGGTGTTTCTTGAAAGACAAAACTGTTTCTTTGGTGTTACTGCAGGAACCACTGGTTTATATTGTCCATCTAGTCTTAATACATTTTCCCTTTGTAGTCAGCTGATGCCAGATGGCTCTTTAACCGGAAGTTTGGGAAACCTGCCTGCTGCTACGCCTCTTGCATCCTCTGGGGTTAGAAAGCCTTGGCACGAGCATGTCACTCAGGACCTGCGCACTCACCTGGTGCACAAACTGTAAGAGCAACAACAAAAAGCAACAATTCTTTGGCCTCTGGAGTAGTAGTACTTGTAGTATTAGTACTAATGCAGTGTGTTTCCTCTGTGCAGTGTACATGCCATCTTCCCCACCCCAGACCCACAAACACTTAGAGACCACCGGATGGAGAACCTTGTGACATATGCTCGTAAAGTGGAGGGAGATATGTACGAGACTGCCAACAGCAGGGTATCAATTAATAATACAAACATTATTGGAACAACTTTGGAGTTCCTCCTAATGCTTTGTTGGTTTTCTTCTGAAAGGATGAGTATTATCACTTTCTTGCTGAAAAAATCTACAAAATTCAAAAGGAATTGGAAGAGAAGAAGCGGCTAAGGATCCAGAAGCAGCCTGGTTTACCTGGTGCTGCTGGTCCTCAGCATTCTGGCCTGTCACAGCCAAATGGCATGGGTCAGGGGCAAGCTGTTCGTGCTCCCAGTTAGTACACATACAATCTGATTATTTTGTTAAAAAACATATGTATACCAATATTTGAATGAATGTAAATTATGGTTTATTTTTCCCCTTAGATGGGCCTGTTGGCATGTCCAATTTACCAAATCAAATGATGAATCGAATGCAAGGACCTCAAGGTGAGTCAATACCTCAGGCCTTATATTTGAGGTGAAATTTTTCCTCCTTGCATTACTGTTAAATGCTATCATGACAACACAATGGTGTTTTGCTGTTCTTCACAGGAATGAACCAGTTAAATCCTATGGCAATGCAAAATTCACAGATGTCTCAGGGAGGACACGGCCCTTCTATGAACCACCCACAGCAAATTAATCTGAACTCCGTCCCAATGGTAAGAACTGTCATTCTGTGAATTTCTCTCACTAGTTTTCCCCCCTACTTTTAATTGTAATTTTTGTATTACTTTTCAGATGAACTCGAGAATGCCTCAACCACAAGGAATTGCAAGTAGTCATCCTAACAACATGATTGGGCAGCAAGCTAACCAAGGGCAATTTATGTCCCAACAAAGCCAGTTCCCTACAGCACAAGGAGGGTCAATGAATGTGAATGCAAACCTAGGGCAGACGATGCAAAAAGCTCCCATTACACAGGTACGTGGGCAGAGTCCCTCACTTATGCATGCTTCATAATGATGTAGTCTGTTGTCAGCTTTTTTTGATTCAAACTTCATATTCTATTTCAGCAGCAAAACTCAAATGTTCCCTTAAATTCAATTGGCTCCTATGGGACCTCAATGCCTAGTGGTTCAACGGTTCAGGCCAGTCTCGGTAGTACCCCGTCCCCTAATGGTTCTGCTGGACTACAGTCTCAGCAGCAGATGCAACATCATCCTCCAGCATCAACTCAGATGCCCCAGCAGCCTTCTACCCCAGCCTCTACAGGGGGCCCATCCTCTACTCCAACCCACATCCCAAACAACCTGCCCGGACCTCTGTCCGCTGCAGGAACACCGTCTGAGCCTGTCCAGCCGCTCACTCCACTTCATCCTCCACCTGAACCACCCACACAAATAAAGCAGCCGCTGTCAGCCCAGGCACAACACCCCAGCACCCCAGTAAGATCTGTTAGCTGTTGAAATAAAATGTGTTTTTGTTCATCTTTATAATATTTCTTTCATTATTAGTTGTCTCAGGCAGCTGTGAGTGTTGACAGAGTCCCTACACCTGCTTCTGTGGCTGAACAGCCAACTCATCAGGCCTTACCTGAGGTAAACAGTACTGAACCGAAATCTGAAGTAAAACATGAAGAGGGCGACACTGTCTCCAAGGAGTTGGACATAAAAACTGAAGTATGCAACATTTCTAATCATGTGATAAATCTACTTAATGACATGATTAAACTATGTTTGTTTTCTTTTTACAGGAGGAGGAAACCAAGCCCCTCCCTATAAAGAAGGAAGAGCCAGAGACCATAGCACCAAAGCAAGAACCAATGGAAACGGAGGAGAAAAAAGTAGAGGTGAAGAAGGAACCCAAAGAGGAGGAAGACAGTGAGGCGAGCGGCACTTCGGCTGCTTCTGCGAACCGTAAAAAAGGTTTGCGTTTTAACTTTTTTGCCCTTTTGTGTTATCAAAGGTTTACTCAACATTTGTGTGTTCAGTCTTCAAGCCAGAGGAACTGCGACAAACTCTCATGCCAACACTGGAGGCTCTGTACAGACAAGACCCGGAGTCCTTACCATTTCGACAACCTGTAGACCCAATGTTCCTTGGCATTCCTGTAAGTCTTCTTTCTTTCAGTTTACATTTTCAAACAAAGTGTATAACATTTATTAACATCAACATTTTACATTTATTTGTAGGACTATTTTGACATAATAAAGAATCCAATTGACTTGTCAACAATTAAACGAAAACTGGACACTGGTCAATATCAGGAGCCTTGGCAGTATGTGGACGACGTATGGCTAATGTTCAACAACGCATGGCTGTACAACCGTAAAACCTCACGAGTTTATAAATACTGCACGAAACTGGCAGAAGTGTTTGAGTCTGAGATTGACCCTGTCATGCAGAGCTTAGGCTACTGCTGCGGACGCAAGGTAGGGACAAGTACATGTTGTTGAAATTTCTTGTCATTGACTTCAGCCTGTTGATTAAAAAAATGTATTGTCCACAGTATGAGTTTTCACCTCAGACATTGTGTTGCTATGGCAAACAATTGTGCACGATATCCAGGGATGGCACTTACTACAGCTACCAAAACAGGTAAAGTCAGCTTTAAGTTATTTAGAAATACATAGTATAATGTCATCTTTACCACCATACTCAACATGTCTGCAAGGTGCACAGACAGTGCATGCTGTATAAACTGCTCCACCTGCTGTGTGAATGATGCAATTGCATCCAGTTGAGTGAATGCATTCATTTTCAAGATCAATGTTTTAGTTAGTGTAATGAAAAGTGAATGTAATACTGAAAGTAATCTTTAATTACATAGCCCATTTCACGCTTCACAGAAAGTGCGTTACAATATAGGGTAATCTCCATTCACCCCACACTCGCTAATGACAGAAGAAAGACCTGGCGCCCCAACCCTCGACTATCACCAACAATTCATTCACTCATTATATTCTTTATCATCATACATATTGTCAGTGGTTGGGGCCCTGTCTTTTTGTGAGGAAAATATAATAAAGTTCTCGAATCCTCACATTAAAGTGGTTTTTAAGCTACGTGCGTTTGCGTGCACTGTCGCTGTGTCCTCATTCATTCTCATTGTGCCGCTTCTACTGTGTGCGCCGCCTGCACTTCACACAAATATGACCTTATTCTCAATAGGTATCACTTCTGCGAAAAGTGCTTCAGTGAGATCCAGGGCAATAGTGTAACACTGGGTGACGATCCGGCACAACCCCAAACGTAAGGAATCTTTGGCTTTTATTTATTTACTCATAAGGATAAAAACCTGAAAAAGTGCGACGTATTTCTCTTTTCTGCAGTATGATTGCAAAAGAGCAATTTGAAAAGAAGAAAAATGACACTTTAGACGCTGAACCGTGAGTTTTTTTCTTGATTTTCTTTAAATATGACTTTGGTTGTCATTGTTAACCTGTTCACATATCGTACAGTTTTGTTGAATGTAAAGACTGTGGGCGTAAGATGCACCAGATCTGTGTGCTGCACTACGACGTCATTTGGCCCACAGGGTGAGCATAGTGTTTAATTGCTTTAAAATTATCATGTGTTAATGGCATGCCTAACAATTGTATTTTTCACTAGATTTATTTGTGACAACTGCCTCAAGAAGTCTGGAAAAACAAAAAAAGATAACAAATTTGCTGCAAAAAGTAGGTGTAACATGCTTTGACCCTTTTTCGTCTTTCGTGTACAATTAGGCCAAATTCTGAATTTGTTTTTCCCTCAAGGATTGCCGCCTACAAGATTAGGCAGTTATATTGAAGACAGAGTCAACAAATACTTAAAAAGACAAAACCATCCCGAAGCTGGGGAAGTTTTTGTGCGAGTGGTTGCCAGTTCTGATAAAATGGTTGATGTAAAACCTGGCATGAAGTCTAGGTAAAGTTTTGATTATGTATTTGTGAAAGCAATTGTACAATTCAATTGTGAAAACCAGTCGTAAATGTAGATTTATACATACTGAACTCCTTTTGCAGGTTTGTAGACACAGGTGAAATGGTTGAAAGTTTCCCTTACAGAACCAAAGCACTTTTTGCATTTGAAGAAATAGACGGGGCGGACGTTTGTTTCTTTGGGATGCATGTTCAAGAGTATGGCTCTGAATGTGCCTTTCCAAACACCAGGTAGCACTCTCGATCAGCTGCCAGAATGGCATCTTTGTTTTGCTCAACTGTAGCTCTTAAATGTAATATTTTTGTTGTAGGCGGGTTTACATTTCATACCTTGACAGTATTCACTTCTTCAAACCACGCTTGTTGAGAACTGCAGTATACCATGAAATCCTGATTGGTTACCTGGAGTATGTGAAGAAACTGGGGTAAGTTTTTGTATTATGAAAGAATCCTGTTTCTGGCTGTCCCTGGTGTTTATATGGTTGTTTTTAGGTATGCAATGGGTCACATTTGGGCATGTCCGCCCAGTGAAGGTGATGACTACATCTTTCACTGCCATCCAGCTGATCAGAAGATCCCCAAACCCAAGCGGTTGCAAGAGTGGTACAGAAAAATGCTGGACAAAGCTTATGCGGAGAGGATTCTTCATGATTATAAGGTCTGTTTATTTTGCATCCCCGTTAGCATAGTCAAGCTAGCTGACGCGCTTCTCAGATAATACTGTACAGCAATAATAGTGTATATAATTATTGAATCAACAATTGGTGACATAAACATTGCTTTGTTTTCAGGATATTTTCAAACAGGCAACTGAAGATAGGCTTACAAGTGCCAATGAATTGCCATATTTTGAGGGAGACTTTTGGCCCAATGTTTTGGAGGAAAGCATTAAGGAGCTGGAACAAGAAGAGGAGGAAAGAAAAAAAGAGGAAAACACTGCCTCATCTGAGACTGTAGAGGTAAGAAAAATAAATGCGTCTTATGTTTTAAAATGTCTTTTTTTTTTTTTTTTCAACATTCTTGTCCTGTACTTCTAGGGAGCTCAAGCTGACAGCAAAAATGGCAAAAAGAAAAATAATAAGAAAACAAACAAAAACAAGAGCAGTGTCAGCAGGGCAAACAAGAAAAAACCTGGGATGCCAAATGTAGCAAATGATCTGTCCCAAAAGCTCTATGCCACAATGGAGAAACACAAAGAGGTAAGAGAAATACTGACACAATCAATTTAGTAAAATATCTGGAGCCTTCAAAACTTTAAAAACATAATTCCATTCTCATTCTGGAGGAGCTCCACTCAGTTGTTTTTACTTGTGGTTTTATGGTGGTCCAGCGTGAGGGGTAAGGGGCGAATAAATAATATTCCCCAATTTGGAATGGCTTAGATTTACAGACTTAGAAATGGAACATTTTCAAAATGTATAATAATGATAGAGTTCATGGTACGTCTTAACGGTTATTTTTGTCTTTAGGTATTTTTTGTGATTCACTTTCACCCTGGGCCAGTGATAAACACTCTGCCCCCCATCTCTGACCCGGACCCTCTGATGTCCTGTGACCTCATGGACGGCCGTGATGCTTTTCTAACTCTGGCCCGAGACAAACACTGGGAGTTCAGTTCTCTGCGGAGGACCAAGTGGAGCACTATGTGCATGCTGGTGGAGCTCCACAACCAGGGCCAGGACCGCTTTGTTTACACCTGCAATGAGTGCAAGCATCATGTTGAGACCCGCTGGCACTGCACCGTTTGTGAGGTGAGTTTTCAAATCCAATAGAGAACCCAAACAAACAATATAACACAAAAATTGAATGTTTCAAACCATTCTTTTGTCTCTTTCTCATTAGGACTATGACCTATGCATTAACTGCTACAACACGACCAAACATGAGCACAAGATGGTCAAATGGGGACTTGGATTAGACGATGATGGCAACAGTCAGAGTAATGAGGCCTCAAAGAGCCCACAGGAGAGCCGTCGCCTCAGTATCCAGCGCTGCATCCAGTCTCTGGTTCATGCCTGTCAGTGCCGCAACGCCAATTGCTCTTTGCCATCCTGCCAGAAGATGAAGAGGGTTGTTCAGCACACCAAGGGCTGCAAGCGCAAGACCAACGGTGGCTGTCCTGTGTGCAAACAGCTAATTGCTCTATGTTGTTATCACGCAAAGCATTGTCAGGAGAACAAGTGCCCTGTGCCTTTCTGTCTCAACATCAAGCAAAAAATCTATCAACAACAGATGCAGCAGAGGTTCCAGCAAGCACAGTTGATGCGGCGCAGAATGGCCACCATGGCTGGACGCATGCCCATGCCTTCACCACCTACCTCAGCTGTCGCTGACGCTCCCAGCGCCGGACAGCAGCCGATCACGCCTCAACCACTCCAGTCGATGCCCAACCAGCCATCACAACAGCAGCCACCACATGCTGCAAACATGGTCCAAGGCTTTCCCAACAGTGGGCGTGTGAGCCAGCCCTCCACACCGGTGTCTCATGGTAAACCCGGCTCCTCTCCGCTGCATCAGCAACAGTCTCCTCTGCCCAACATGTCGCACCAACAGCACCAACACCAACAGCAGCAGCAGCCACTGCTCGCAGCTCTAAAGGTCGCCAAGGAGATCGAAATGGTTGTGAAAGCAAAGCAGCAGCAGCAGCAGCAGAATTATACCATGAATGGGATGCCCATAAACCACCCTCGAATGATGGGAGCAATGCAGGGGCAAATGCAAGGTCAGATGCAGGGTCAGATGCAGGGTCAGATGCAGGGCCAGATGCAGGGCCAGATGCAGGGCCAGATGCAGGGCCAGATGCAGGGCCAGATGCAGGGCCAGATGCAGGGCCAGATGCAGGGCCAGATGCAGGGCCAGATGCAGGGCCAGATGCAGGGCCAGATGCAGGGCCAGATGCAGGGCCAGATGCAAGGGAAGATACAGGGGCAACTGCAAGGGCAACTACAAGGGCAGATGCCGGGGCAGATGCAAGGGCAGATGCAAGGGCAGATGCAAGGGCAGATGCAAGGGCAGATGCAAGGGCAGATGCAAGGGCAGATGCCGGGGCAGATGCCGGGGCAGATGCCGGGGCAGATGCCGGGGCAGATGCCGGGGCAGATGCAGGGGCAGATGCCGGGGCAGATGCCGGGGCAGATGCAGGGGCAGATGCCGGGGCAGATGCAGGGGCAGATGCAAGGGCAGATGCAAGGGCAGATGCAGATGATGCAGGATATGCAGGGTCCACGTGGTCCTCATGTGATGCAGCAGGGGCAATGGGGGATGCAGAATCCCATGCAGGGACCCCAAGGTGTTCAAACACAGGTTCCCGGGCCACAGGGCTCCATGGCTCCACAGGCTCAAGTTGGCCAGATGGTCCCACAGGGTCAGCTGCAGGCTCAGCTGCTGCAGAGGCCCATGATGACGCAGCAGATGCCTGGTGGCATGAATCCTCAGGGGTCTTCGCAGGGAATGACTCCACAGCAGCAGAACATGCCTCGGGGCATGCCAGGGAACTTTGCTCCAAGTGCTTTGCAGGAATTATTACGCACCCTCAAATCACCCACATCACCCCAGCAGCAGCGACAGGTCCTAAGTATCCTCAAATCCAATCCTCAACTCATGGCGGCTTTCATCAAACAGAGGACTCTAAAGTACCAGGCCCAGCAGCAGGGTCCTCAGCAGAGCCCTCAGGTCATAATGGGGGTCCAGGGGGGGATGCAACCGATGACCAACCAGGTACAACAGCCTGGGGTATCCCCACAGCAGCCCACACCACAGCAGCTCCCCGGACCTCAAGGGATGGTGCCTATGGGGCCACAAGGACAAATGATGAATGCTCATCAAAATGGAAACCCTCAACTCTATCGACAGCAGATGCTCCGCATGCAGCAGCAGCAGCAGCAGCAGCACCAACAACAGCAGCACCAGCAGCAGCAGCAGCAGCAGCAGCAGCAAGGGGGAATGCATCAGGCTCATGGGCAATTTTCGCAACAGCAGCCGGGACCCAACTATACCCAGCTTCGAATGCAGCAGCAAATGGCTATGCAAGGAGGAGGCAAACCCATGGGCCAACTACCGCTTACATCCCAAATGGGCCAACCTGGAATGGGCCAGCCTGGTATGGGCCAGCCTGGTATGGGCCAGCCTGGCATGGGCATTGAAGCCCACCAGACTCACCAGACGCTCCTCCAGCAGCGCATTCTTCAGCAGCAGATGCTGAAGCAGCAGATGGGATCTCCGGTCCAGAACAGCGCCATGAGCCCCCAGCCCCACATGCTCCCAGGTCAGCCCCCTGGGGCCCACTTATCTGGACAGAACATGGGCCTGGGAAATCAAGTTCGCTCCCCTGCTCCAGTTCAGTCTCCTCGGCCACCCTCACAGCAGCCGCCACACTCAAGTCCTTCTCCCCGAATTCAACCACAGCCCTCACCCCAACATGGACCCCTTCACTCCACCTCCCCCCACCCAAGCCTTGCAGGACCCATGTCTGGCTCTATGGAACAAGGGCACCTTGGCACACAGGAGCAGAGTGCCATGCTCCCACAGCTCAACACGCCCAACAGGGGGTTGAGCAATGACATGAATTTAGGGGGAGATGCCACAGGAGACACTCTAGAGAAATTTATTGAAGGGTTGTAGCATTTGGAGACAGAAGTTGGGCCTTGTTCTGTTTTCAACTGACATATTTTGTATTTGCTAAAGTGCAAAATTCAATTAATTAATCAGAGGCCTCAAGACTGTGAACGTTTCCTTCCATCAAATAATGCTTTACTTCCTGAGTGATTAATGGATGCTGTTGAATTTCAGACTACAAAAAACGTTTTGGCTCTGAAAAGAATTTGTGGTTTTCATTTATTTGGTTTACACTATGGACTTATATCAAAATCTTGCACCAAAAATCATTTTAGTGTTCTGTATTTTTAATTATTTTTGTTGAAAATAACTGTAAAATGTATTTGTTAACCTTTTCCTTACTTCCCTTCCTGGCTAATTTATTCCAATATGCCAATTTCATAAAGACTGCCTTTGGGAAAGCCTTAATTTCTTTCCTGTTGCAAAATCTATGGGAGATTATTAACATATTTGTACAGATTTAATAATTATTGCACACACAAACACAACATGCAGGTGTTGGCCTGCACTGAAACTTCATGTTCACAGGTGCCGAATGTTGTTTTTCTACTGGCCCTTCCCAGTATTTGTCTTGAAATAGTAATTATTGATGGCTGTGTTTTTGCAAAAAGCTTTTTGCCTGTGGTGGGAATTACCTATTTGACTGCTGATTTCTTTCCTAAGTTTTTTGCATTTTTCCCTTCTTGCATTAAACTTGAATTGATAATGAACTGTTCTCACATGTAAATTATGCAGCTAGACAGTACTGTAAATAAATATGATGAAAATAAGAATCACTGTACAAATTCACAAATGTCTCATTTCGTACTTATTTACCATATTGTTAAATAAACCTGTGTGCCACTGAATCTGTTTTTGCTTTGTGGTGTGTATTTTGTGGATCTATTTTCGCATTATAGATTATTCTACGGACACGACGTTTTGTCAGGCGACGCTCGGACACCTATGTTACGTCATTCACATGCGCCATGTAGGGTCCTGTGTCTACTCTCAGCGTGCGTCCCCTACGTCACATCGACCTCTGCTTCAAACCTTTAATTATAAGTTATAAACACAAACGATCTGTGGTTTGGACATGTCACGCTGCTTGTCTCTGTCCCGCTTCGTCCTTAACGTCTCCAGGACGTCAGTGCCGCGTGCAGCACGAGCCCTGCGCACGCGAGCCACCCACCCGCTCTCGTGCGCTGCAGGTGAGGACTTTGTTTTTCTGATGTCTTTCCAAGATATTACTGTCATTACGAGCTTTCTCCATCAGTCTAACCTGACATTCGTCGTCTAAATTGATCAGATGAGTGGCTCTTGTACCGTAGCCATAACGATTATTAGGCTTTACTGCTATCACCAAGGCTAGGTTAAATATGGGTTATCTAACTTCATAAAATCCATGTCACTAGTTTAGTCGTAAACAGTGACATGGATTTTAACGATTTAGTCGTATCTTTAGTTTTCGCATTCAAGTATTTTAGGCCATCTTTTATAGCTTTTTTTCAGATAGATTATAAAGGACCACCCTCAGTGAGCCAATCAGCTCTCAGTAAGATGTTTTCTAATAACATGATCGCATATTGTGGTCTAATTTGTTCACTAAATGTAATTTAAAAAAGACCTTCTGTTGGGGAAAACAAAATGTGTTCATGAAACCACCAACTTAAATACTAGACACTGGTCTGAAGGAAAAATATTTAACTAATTGATGTATACATTCAGAGTACAACGTGTGTTTACTTCAAAAGAACTTATTTTTCACCATAATGTATAATCTTCAAATTCTTACAGGTTCTAATGCCACACAGCTACAGAAATGGAGCAGTCGATCCAGAGTGTGGAGCTCATGCCTCTCCTTCAGCCCAAAGAATTATTACAGCACTCAACAAGCGGAGCAGGAGCCAGAGGAAGAGCCTTTACACACCATCATCAGTGACACAGAGTCTGTCCAAGGTACAATTTAAAAAAAACTTGTATCCACCAAAAACATGGTCTATAGATTTGAAAAGTGTAAACTTAAGTCTGACGGCTAAGCATTTTGTAAAAGTTACTTAACTTGATCATGTATCCAACCTGCACTGGCAGGAACCACCACACTATGCATACATTTGATAAAAAGTAGTTGTGTTTCTCCTTTGTGCCTTTGACACATTTTTTACATTTAATAGAAATGTATTTATTTTTCTTCCAGGTTCTTTCTCAAAACATGAATTCCAGGCTGAGACCAAGAAGCTCCTCGACATTGTTGCCAGATCTTTGTACTCAGAAAAAGAAGTAAGATGAACATGCGATTTAGTAATGATGAATTTGACTGGAATCCCTAAAATAACCCATTTGGAATATTTTAGGTTTTTATTAGGGAGTTGATCTCTAATGGGAGTGATGCTCTTGAAAAATTTCGACACAAGTTGATGACAGGAGGTGGAGATACTGCCCCAATGGAGATCCATCTGAAAACTGATGCCAACCTAGGCACATTCACCATCCAGGTCTGTCTCTGCTAACTTTTCAGTGTCACTTGGAGGCTATAAAGAAAACGATGATTTATAAACCGCATCTGGTTGTCAAGGTGATTCTGTAAAATCCATCCTTTGATTACATTTCATCAAGCTCATCCGGGGGAATCCTGATGCATTCCCAGGCCAGCTGCAGTGTGCAGTTATCTGCTGAGGTGGTGGAGGTTCATGCTCAGCTTTTCATACTTTCAGTTTAAGGACCGCTCTTTATTGCTCAGTGTAATTTGTAGTTTTGTTAGTGTGAGCTTCTGTTTAAAGTAGTTTTCACATCTGCTGTTTTGCCGCTGGTTTGGAGGATACAGATTTATTATACCCCACCACAGATCCTTTCCTTACTGTGGCTTTCCCCTCACTGCTCCTGTGGTTGACCTCAAGAGAAGGTAAAGGATAAGGAAGGGTTAGGAAAGGCCTTTATTGTGTCATGACAGGAGGCATCAACGCCCAAGCCACCTCAGCATTCTCTTCTCGAAGTGGAGGAGCACTGGCTCTACTCAGAGTTCCGTGTGACCCGATCGCTGCCAAACAGCTCTGCAGAAGGGACTCATTTTGACCGCTTGTATCTGAAATGTTACTATTTCGATCATTACCCAAAGCTCATGACCATGGGGGAATATGGAAAGTAGATGTATTGGTTAATCGGCTCAGCTGCCTCTTTGTGCAATCCCACTATATTGTTATTTCATTTTGATACAGGACACAGGGGTTGGTATGAATCAAGAAGAGCTGGTAGAAAACCTGGGAACTATTGCACGTTCTGGCTCTAAGGTATTTGAGATATGTTTATCATTTTTATTAGACCTGTTTAAATATCATGTTAACATCACAATGTTTTTTCTAGGCTTTCTTAGATGCTCTTCAGAGCCAGGCAGAGGCCAGCAGCTCCATCATTGGTCAGTTCGGAGTGGGCTTTTACTCTGCCTTCATGGTGGCGGACCGTGTTGATGTGTATTCATGTGCTGCTGAGCCAGACTCTCCTGGATACAAGTGGTCCTCTGATGGGTAAAACAAGTCAGACAAACATAAATAACGTGATTCAATATGAGACCAACATTTATTTCCTTCTTTGTCAGCTCTGGAGTTTTTGAGATAGCTGAAGCCAGCGGGGTCCAACGGGGCACCAAAATTGTGCTTCACCTTAAAGACGATTGTAAAGAGTTTTCGCAAGAGGACAGAGTCAAAGGTGATATTCAGCACGTCAATCGGTTCTTCACTCAGAGAAGTTTTTGATAATGGTTTTGAACATGTATGTCTATAGAGGTTGTGACGAAGTACAGCAACTTTGTGAGTTTCCCGATTTTCCTCAATGGACGAAGGCTCAATACCTTACAGGTTGGTGTCATCTTCTTTCTCTCTGCATGCAAAAAGCAAATGAAAGCTAATGCACATATGCGTCTCCATATTAGGCTCTTTGGATGATGGAACCTAAGGAGATCAGTGAGTGGCAGCATGAGGAATTTTACCGCTATGTAGCTCAAACATACGATAAACCTCGCTACACCCTGCACTACCGCGCTGATGCCCCAGTCAACATCAGAAGCATATTCTACGTCCCAGAAGCGGTGAGAAACCAAACGGGCTTGTAATTGGTGTAGTGTGGGAGTCAATGCTTTCATAACACTCTCTCCACATCAGAAACCCAGCATGTTTGACGTGAGCAGGGAAATGGGCTCCAGTGTGGCTCTGTACAGTAGGAAAGTCCTGATCCAGACCAAAGCCACAGACATCTTACCAAAGTGGCTGCGCTTCCTTCGAGGTGTGTGGTGATGGAAAATTAACCCCGGGATCCATGCGCCTCTTTTAACACTGCTTTTGTGTGTGCAGGTGTGGTGGACAGCGAAGATATCCCCCTGAATTTGAGCAGAGAACTTCTCCAGGAGAGCGCTCTCATTAGGTACAGACATACTTTTAATGTTTCAGTTGGAGAGCAGAACCCAAATAATTATACGCAAGTTTCGAACCTCTTACTTGCCCAAAAACATAATGTCATCCTTCCTGTGGCTCAAAGGCAATTGACAACAATGATAGGTGTTTTTCTTTTTGTTTGCTCTGGATGGACCTAGTTTGTACATAGACATGACCATAATCCATAAATCTGATATTGGACACGGACACATTCATATTGAGAATGAGATGAAATGATTTCCTGGAGCTCAGTGTTCATCCAGCTTAAAGTGATTGTCTGCAGTTTGTCAGCGAGAGAGAGAGAGAGACAGAGAGGTACTTGATTTGAGAAAAAACGACGCAAGCTCCCTCCCCCTTCCTTTCTGATTGGTCTACACCTATGTTTCTGTAACACATTTAAATGTTAATGGGAGAACATATTATACATATACATTATTAATACACATGTTTTCAGAATTATTTGTTAACGTTTTCATGAAAAAAAGTTTTTAATGCACAAAAAAAGCGATCGCGGCAAACCCGGAAGAACCTATTATCATGAATTGCACATTATAGGACACATCTGCAGAGGATCTGATTATGGATATAGGTTCAGTATATACATAAGTACCTCAGCGCGGATGTTCAGAATTCTTTGTTCAATTTTCATGTAGTTCCAGAGCCTGATGGAGGCTTGATTCGGAGGCGCCGCGAAAACCAACAACTGATCATGCGCAGCTACGAGTTTCAGCGCGATGATTGACAGCCCTTGGCATGACTTGATTGGTTAACGTGGACGGCATCGTGGATTTTGAGCTATAGCTAAGAGAAGGGAAGGCGGGACTTGTCTGTAATATTAGAATTAATAAAATGACTTATTTTATATCAACATTTAAGGCCAGGAGGTCAATTTAATACAATTCTTAAATATTTTAATTTATTTCGAGTTACAGACTATCACTTTATTTTGATTCATTCATTTAAGTTCTGTGGTTAATTCTTTTGAAGGTCCGAAAGGTAAGACGTGCTATGCAGAGCAATCACATTATGCCCCTGAGACTATTTGTTTAAATGTCTAAAGTAGTTCAAATATATCTTGCCTTGTTCTAAAATGTATTATGACGGGGCTAAACTCGAGACTAAGATAAAGGTGTCTTGCTTTAGGAAACTGCGGGACGTCCTCCAGCAGAGAGTCATTCGTTTCCTCCTGGATCAGAGCAAGAAGGAGCCCGAGAAGTACAGCAAGTTCTTCGACGATTACGGCCTGTTTATGAGAGAAGGCATCGTCACCACACACGAACAAGATGTCCGGGTGAGCGACGAGATTACAGTAGATAAAAGTATTTTAATCGTTTGGTACATTCGTCACAACACAGTAGCACCCCTTTTTTTCTCACCTGGACTGAGTGTCTTGAGTGTCTAACACAGGGGGTAGAGCAGTTCTCTCATAAACCTGGGGCGAAGGTTCAAGTCCTCGCCGCGGATCCTGTCGGGAGAAAAAATCTTATTGAAGTGGTTATAAGAATTTGATAATTGATTATTGTAAAAGTTAAGACAATTGGTATTAGCAACATACAGTACATACATTAGACAGGGTTATACAGTGAATGCAGACAAGGCAGATACACAAGTTTGGACAAAACATACTTGCTTAGTTAGATAATAACTAAATATTAAGTACTAACGTGCATAATGAGTGATGTGGGTGGGACAGGAATTTTTTTTGACTTCAATTACATTCATTATTAAACGGTGCCAAACAGTAACTGCTATGAGTGCTTTAGGGCAAATCGTAAATGTTAATACTGTCAAATCTCTTGCAAAAAATTTTAACTTTAATTGCCATCGTCTTTCGTTGTCATAGTGTTACGGCTAGTTTACTCTCTCCACTCTTGCCTCGTTCTTTGACTCGTCTCGTTCTCTGCATAGGAGGACATCGCAAAGCTGCTGAGATTCGAGTCCTCGGCTCTGCCGGCCGGTAAGCAGACAAACCTGATGGAGTACGGCTCTCGCATGAAGGCCGGAACCAGGAACATCTACTACCTGTGCGCCCCCAACCGTCACCTGGCAGAACACTCGCCCTACTACGAGGCCATGAAGCAAAAGGACATGGAGGTGAGGAAGAAAAGACTGCGGTCCTGTTCTTCTTTGCAGCTTCCATGCCCCCACGTTATTGTTCGTAACACGGCATGTCTGTCTGTATTTGCACAGGTGCTGTTTTGCTATGAGCAGTTTGACGAGCTGACACTGCTCCATCTCCGAGAGTTCGACAAGAAGAAGCTGATCTCGGTGGAGACGGATATCGTGGTGGACCATTACAAAGAGGAGAAGTTCCAGGACGTCAAACCTGGTCAGTTGCCATTTTTCTTATTCCCTAAATAGTGGAAAATATGTGGTTCCATCTGGTGGCAACTATGATTATTAGGCCATGGCTCTTGATTGGGCCTCTGCATGCTCGGTATTTTGAAGGAGTAGTAGGAAGTAGTACTTATCTGAACATGAAGATAAACACTATCTTAACTGAAGACTCAAAAGTTTATCTTTTCTCAGGACGGTTTCTGAATTGAACGTGAATACCACATACAGGTCTTAAATGACGGGTTCTTTTTGTTCCATAAGAAAAAGCCCTGTATGTATGGGTGGATGAGTGATGGCCTGGTCGTACCACACCATAGTACAGATTACATTTCGTACTAAGGTCTGGAGGTGCTCCATTGAGCTCCGTTTACAGGTGGGAGGGGTGAACTCCTTTTGCAGATTGAAACGATTGGATCTGAGTTAACCCTGACGTATGTAATGCGCCGATTGAGTCGTTAGCGTTTAGCCTAGCCATCTCCTTTGTCGCTAACGGAGCCCGTGGGGAGTAGCGCAATTTTTTCCAGCGACTACATTTGCTAAACATTCCTCTTGCTCCGGCTTCAATTTCTTGATAGAACCAGACCGGATTACTTTACTATTGCATTTTTCGGCATTGCCAAACTACACCCTTCCCGTTCGATGCAAACTCTTGACGTTCCGCGCTCTCTGAATGGTCGGTCGAAATTCAAGCGATTTGTAATCGCAAACACAGGGACTAGACCCAGACGTTACATGCAGTGAAATGATGATTGAGCGGAGTGTACGGATGGCTAAGGCCAGGCTGGATTTTATTACTTAGTTAAAAATAAAAAGTGGTTTGAAAGTTTTTTCCCAAAGTATAGGTATGTGAAGCGTTAAATCAAATTCATTAGAAACCATTCCCACATGTGCATTTGGAAATAAAATCCTGTGTCATTTCTGTCCTGACCTCAGAGTCAGAGCGCCTCACACAGGAGCAGGCCGACGACCTCATGGCCTGGATGAGGAACGTCCTTGGTTCTCGAGTCACCAACGTCAAAGTAAACACCGCAAACTTAATATTGTCATTGTCGCTTGTATTTGGATGTGAAGGCACACTTGTGTTGTAGGTCACTCCCCGTCTGGACACGCATCCCGCCATGGTCACTGTGTTGGAAATGGGAGCAGCGCGCCACTTCCTGCGCACGCAACAGATGGCTCGCACTGCGGAGGAAAGGGCTCAAATACTGCAGCCCACCTTAGAAATTAATGCAGGGTGAGTCTCCTTCTAAACCCTGCAGTCTTGCATCAATGATTGCTTGATAAGACATAATTGTTTTTCTTCAGGCACGACCTCATAAAGAAGTTGCATTCGTTAAAGGATACTAACGCTGAATTGGCGGGGCTGCTACTAGAACAGGTGCTGGTGCTACATACCACCTTTCAAAACAGTTCAAAACACGCTGACATAAATAGAATTTTAAATGTAGTTAAAATGATGAAACATAATTTACATGGGTTCACTTTGCTTTTTCAGATATACGACAATGCCATGATTGCCGCCGGTCTGAATGATGACCCCAGACCAATGATTTCCCGCCTCAATGAGCTGCTCACAAAAGCCCTGCAGAATCATTGAGACACTTTGCACACAGACTGTTTGGATTGATTGTGGATCGCTTTGAGGACAGTGGCTCAAGGACCTGAGGATGTGCAGCTGAAGGAACAACTGTGCTCCCATCTTAGGCCTTTATCTGAAGTGAAACGTTTGGTGGTAAGGTACTAATGCTGAAGGTCTCAAAACAAAATTCTGTCCGTGTTATTGTAACGAATCTGTAAACAAAGGCATTGCAATGTACGCTTTTCTAATTCTCCAACTTAATTTGATCAATTTCTGGAAACCTGCGCAGTGTTTAAGATGTGAAACTCAAGTTGGTCATAACTGGTTCCAACCAAACTATTTCTACTCTGGATCCTATTGAGACAAGGTCAGAAAATACTTTTGAGCATAGGGAACTATGCTTCTATTATAAATATGTATTCAAACTCATTCATTTTGATAATTGCAATACATACAGCCCCTTGCCACTCTTTTAATTGTAGAAGAAACTTTGCGTTAAAATTAAATACTCAATTTGTATTTACCAAAAGTGTGCTTAATGAGTTGATGTAACAATTATATTTACAATTACTGTTTCAAAGTTCTAGTACTAAAGTCACAAGGTTCACACTGGAGCGGTCAAACCAGTTTAGAGCCATACACTGTATTCTTTTGCCTTTTTGTTAAAGCTCATTGTCAGAATTGTTATCCCTTACATTTAATAAATTACTTAGTAACGCCTTGATAAAGCACTCGGTATTGTATAAACTTGTTATCATGATTAACTTTTTCCCAATCCTTAAAATTCATGATTGTTTCCTGCAGTTATCGCCAAACGGCTCTACACAATATGGATCATTGTTTTGCTTGATTTGTGCTTTAGTTTTATTCTGTTACATACTTGGGCCGCACCGTTACTGCATAAGCACTGCACTGCCTTGATAGTTAACCAAACTCTTGCACACCGATTCCATTGTAGTTGAATACAAATAAACCACTGCAAAACCTTTAGCAAAACACACATTTTACTCCCAACACAATGACCTGAAAAGGAGGCTCGCATCAGCTGCAGCTTAAACATTACGGACGGATCCTTTAGTCTGTCTGTGGCCCATCCCTCGGTCAGCGGCCCAGCACTGTCCATACATCCACATCAGACCGTTCCCGTCGCTGCCGTCCCTCCATGCTCCAGCCCGCATGGGTTTTCTGACCTAAATGTTTTTCAAGTCAAATGCCAGAAGCGTGTCAGGAGAGCTTGTCTATGTTGTCGAGGAAACGCTGTGCCCACCACTCATCAAGGTCAATGGGTACAAAGTCTGCAAAAAGAGAGATGTGGAGAAAGTTGTTGGTTATACAATGATCTTAATATAATGTAAATCCAGAAAATAAACATTCAATATGATGAGTGAGTTGTGTGTATTCTCAGTTTACTACACGTGTGTATTCTCAGTTTACTACACGTGGGTATATAACACTGACACTTGACCGCCCAACAGTGGTCATAAGAGGTAAGTGCAATGCAATTTATGAACGTTTGAGCCCTGTAGTAATCTCCTGCATAGATGTATGAAGTGATAAATGGGTAAAGTCAAAGTCTTACTCTTCATGTGTGGACTTGGATCTTCCTCCTTGTACTGGACAGGCTTCTCGGCTCCTGATGCTTGACCTGAACTGTTGTCCACTTCTTGCCAGGCTAAAATAAAGAATGTTTCAATGAGAAGATAGCTGGACATACCTTTTCATCTCAAAAAAAGAAAGGGGTAAATAATTGGTGTATCACAAAAGTTATTGCAAAGTAGTCCAAATTAAATAATTAACCCCATTATGTATTCAGTCTAATTTTTATAGACTACATCATAATGGCCTACCAATAGTACATTTTAAATTGAAGGATTACTATGGGAAAACTGCAACGATAAGCAATGGAGCAAGATTTCCAGCATTGCGCACTCGAAATGTAGATTCATTTAACGTTCAGATCATGCTTTCTTGATTTAGCGTGTGCTTCCCTTATTCATTTGCACTTCAGCCAGAACATTTGTGTGTGATTCTTTGTTTGTACGACCAGCTCACTGTCTCCATTCACAAGTTTTATTATTACATTATTTTCAAGAACAATTTTTGTTTGACTTAATGCGAAAGAGTCTTGTACTGATCCGAACACAAATGGATGTTCACTGTCTTTGTTCAGGTCAATGGAGTTTGAAATGATTTCGCTTCTTTGAATATAAAGTGACACAGGGGAATCCTCAAAATTGGGTCAAAAGATTAAACTATAGATATATCCGAACCTTTTCTTTGTGCTTGTTACAAAAAGCAGACCACAGACTGCGGCTTTCTCATGGCCCTCAAATCCTGTTTATTTTGCCTCATGTGACACTGATGTGAGTGTGAAAGGAGCTCTTTTAGGGGCCTATCAGTGCCATAGCAGCTGTTTTGGGAGAGGCCTGGCAGAAAGGGAGGGTTGAACAAAACCACTTATTTATCATTTCTAGTCCCATTACTGATTTTCTTACCTTCATAAACAAACCTCACGTTGTCCTCATGTGCAGGGGTGAAGCTCTCCTCCTGGAAGTCGTCAGAGCTGAGGGCTGGAGCAGGGTGCTGGTACCTCTTCCCATTCATACGATTAAAAACGATCTTGGGTGCAGAGAGGCTGAAGTTTAAAACCGAAAAGTTTGCACAATTTTACTCAAGTTGTTTGTGTACCGTTGCAACAGCTGAATTGAAGGTCCATGGGCCACCTTGGCTTGACAAGGTCACACATGGAAACGGCAAAAAAGGCACAGCTGGCCTCAAACACGTCTAACATGTGTGTGTGTGTGTGAATGTGACAGTGTGTGTGTACATTTTATTGACTTTGCCTCGAAGTGGAGGATATCCTTTGTTCAACATGTTCAACATGAAACACAAACATTAAAACATGTTGGACCAGTGCGTGATAACTGCGTATACGCACCCAGGCATGCTCCAAGAAGTCTGCTTGTGCTTGAATTCATTTATTTTGTTGTCCAGTTGCTGTGTGGGTCCTGGTGAGAGACAGAAATCAGCAATTACGCAATTATGACTGGGCCCAAGATCGAAATAACATAATAATAACGCAGTATTCGTACCTGTGTTACCTGTGCGCCGCTGTGTGACCAGTTTGCTGGGGCCTCTGGTGATAGTGTACATACTGCGCAGAGAAAGTCGCCTGGAAACTTTGGCTCGGTCCAGATGGCGCACGGGTCATGCAGAGGCGCGCAGCTCTGTGGGGCGACACGGGTGTAAAGACGGGGTCCTCGCAGAGAAAGAGTGTGGCTGAGATGAGGCTTGGAGCATGGCACTCAGTGAGACTTGTAACCGGTCAAGAAACACATGGACATTGTAACGGGACAATGTCACGGAGCGCAGGGGACAGCTGTCATAAGCCGCGTCACGCCCCCCAGCACCATTTAAAGGGACCGCGTCACAATACTGTACTACTCACAATATTGTACCCAGAAAGATTCAATTATTTTGTATCTACTTGCTATTTTTAGGATCTAAATATTCGCTGGGGTGTTATTAACATCAACATTAAATAATAGTAATTAAAACGTTAGTTAACAAACCTCAAACCGATTATCCAATCAGAAAGCAGACTGAGTCTTCATTTGGGTTGCCAGTTTCGTTGGTGAAACCCAGCTGAATGACCACCATCTTTTTTTCTACACAATGAGTGAAGTTTTTTTTTGTCGTTAGCATTTCAGGTATAATTTATCATTTTGATTACTCGTATTTTATGTAATTTGAAAATACCAGATTATTATCTTATAATACATGGATTTTGAGCATTATTCATTCACCTTTATTTATCCAGGAAAGCTCCACTGATATTTCAGAACAACATACAAACTCCACTCAACGTTGTGACCAAATAAGACTACATAATGTTGGTTAATCTTATTAAAACACAGGCTATAGTTTGTTTTCTTTGACTCTTTAGCATAAGAGGGTGGTCCTCTCACATTTCTGTCTGAAATAGCAGAGATAAAATATATAACAAATATCAATCCATTTCTGGGTCAGGGGGGTGGTAATCAGAGATGCCACCCAAGTCTCATAGCACCAGCCGCTCACTTACCCTCTGCAGGTGGTGAGTCCACAGGAGGACGGCTGCTCTCTGAGTGTGAGCATAGCCTTGATCTTTCAGTGGGGGCTTTGGGCAAAGTGGGGTTAAGTGTCTTGCCCAAGGACACAACGACAGCAGTCATCAGTGGGAGTCGGTGGAAGACAAATATAATCTATATAAATACACACGTGTCTTATGTCGACATTCCCCTCGATTTATTTCTCAGATTAATGCTTTGAGATACATTTTCTGAAATAACATCCACATCACTCTGTTTTAATTTGAATGTGTGTACAATCACCGCCTTTTTAAAACTCGTATTTTATTCAATATACAAAAAGCAACAGGACAGGGTTTTAATTAGGCTAAATCTGACGATGTGAAAACACCAATATAGAAAGTCTCTTCTAAACCCCAACTATTTAAAATATAATATCAATCCCCTAGAACATCAATACATATTTTCCATTTTTAATGAATTGTTTTAATTGAATAAAGTTTGACACAAGGTACAACGTGTGCTAACAGTCCAGAGAACTAAGCAAAACAAACACGGAATATTTACAAGGATTATAATTAGAAGGCAAAACATCTTTTAAAGGCATAAAATAATTACCAAGTGTTAAAAAAAATAGATAAACACAAATGCATGTTGTCGTCTTGGATACGGCAGCATTAGGTCTGTGGTGTGGGCGGCTGAGAGGTCACAGAGCGGATGTGCTGAAGCAGACGGTCGCAGTGCCCCGGACTCCGCTGTTTGTCTCTGACTGCCTCTGTCTCAGACTTCAGCAGAGACGGATGAACCACGCTGCCTTTCTTCAAGATCTCTGCACAGAAAATAAAACAAATACACTGTCAGTTAAGCAAGGGGAAATAATGAGTCTTTTTCTACCATGCACATATTTATATCTAATTAGGGAAGTCTGGGCGTCTTTGCTTAGACTACAGCCCCCGCGAACCAGCAATAGTGGAAGCGGAAGAAAATGGAATTTACAGTATAGTATAGTATAGTATAGTAACCCTAATTTAATAAAGCAGGTAGTGAAGCTATAGACAGAATGTGGAGAGTTGACAAATGTATTCAGTCTTACCAAAGCCAAACAGAATCTTCGTTTTCAATGTCCAATAATTCACTAATCCTAACTTATTGTTTTACGAAATCAAATGCTCAACTTCAGACAACAATTTGTAAACAAATTCTTCCGGAATTTTGGCCAAGGATAAGAAGAAAATTACTCTATGCATAAATAATAATTTTAAAAAGGGAGTTAATTAATATGCCTTTATTGATTACGGCATGTCTCTATAGATCCAGTGAGTTTAGGCCAACACTAATATAAGACTCGACAGTGACGACTACTGAAAAGAGGGTTTCAGTCAACACAACTATAAACAGCATTTTATTTAATTGACTTGGTACAATAAGGATTTTTATACAGTCAGTGGAAATACAGCAACACCTTAAACTCAATGAAAGTGCGAGGATGAAAGGCTTTTCAGTATTAACTAATTATTTGACAAAAAAATATTTCCTTGAAATGGACTTAAATAAAACGAATACTTCAAATACATAAAATGTTAATGGATTTGTTTTGACACAAATGTGTACAACTTGAAATATTATTAGGTGGTGAGGCTCGTGAGTTTCTGGGCTCTGACTGAAACATCTAAATACAGCAGGGGGCAGTGTTGGTCAGCATTTGGTATTCACCTTAATACTTACAGACTGGATGAAACAAGTGCTCATGAACTCACAAATGAACAATGTATGACCTGGGAATGCACATGTTAAAGTAATAAACTATCAGTAAATGAATATGCTTCAACTTCAGAACTGTTAAACATCGTTGAATAGTTACATAAGTTTAGTTCGAGCTTTGATGAGATGTAGAAATGTCAAAAACTGCCAATAAAAAATAATCAGTTTATCAGTTTCAAATCTATGTCCATTAGACAACCTGCAGTTCACTAGTATTGTGCGTCTGTCATAATGTAAACACGTAACAATATACTGTATGCATTTGTAAGTAAGTAAAAGAAGGCCAAGCAAGGGACAAAAGGCTAATTCATATATGGGTACTTTGTGATCAAATAAGGCCAAAATCAAGAAGACAAACATTCAACACAAATGAGTTATGAGATCTTATCACAATTTGGCAACGTACGAGAAGATCCACCGGGGCTTTGGACCGGCACAAAGAGATTTCTGCTGAAGACGTCCAGACTTTCAGTGCTATGAAGTTGAGTTTGGAGGAAGCAGAGGCCTCAACACTCACCTGCAGCCTGTCAGAAGTAATGACATCTAACAGGAGAGTGAGGGGGAGAGAGGGGGGGAGAGAAAACGCCACTCACCCTTTCCATCAAAACGTCCCTAAAACGTGGTAATCAGAAATGCACACGGACCATTCACTCGGAGCTCGCTGATAGAAAAAGATGACGTTGTGAGAGAGAAGAAGAAATGCAGAATGGGAAGACACCATATGGAGGTGATAAAAACATAGATGTTTTTTTTGACTTCCCCAAAAATGATAAATCGTCTCAGGTGAACTGGAAGAGCTACAACACAAACACACACTCAGCGTGAACTATCAATGATGTGGAATAACATTTTCCATCCCTAATGATTTTAAGAACAGATCTCATGCCTTGGCAGATGACTTCAAGCTGTTCTGTGAGATGAATGGTTTAGCGAGTGTTCGAAATAAAAGAGTGGATCTGCGGCCTTCATGCCAGAGCGATAATCCCCCCGTTTGATAGGGGATACCCGAGAAATCACAACCTCCTGCAACGTCCCTCTGCATAACTACAAGATCTGCAAATCATAACCTCAAATAAACCCGGCTTTCAACAGATTCCTTTGCCTTTTAGTATTAGTTAGTTAGTTAGTTACATACATCTGTAAACTATTATTCCCCGTGTGTGCGTCATAACTGTGTGTGAAGAGAATCTGAACCACGTAAAGCGCTTTGGGTGACATTGGTCTGTAAAAATGCGCAATATAAATTACTTACTGAGGACACAAGACTAAATGGAGATCTCTGAAGACAGACTCACCCAAAACTCGGTCCTGCACGGCGCTGTCGGGGTCGTCCAGATGCAGAAGCAGTTGTTGAAAGAGCAGCTGGAGGTGAGAAACGCAGAGGTCTGGACTGTAGTCTTGGTTCAGACCGGTGAACCACAGACCCAGCGCCTCCAAGGCCACGGCGCGCACCTCCTCGCTGCTGTCGTCCAGGCGCTTCAGCAGCTCTGCCCCAAAACAAAAGCGTTATGCAAAAAAAAATATGTCGGGGGGGATTGTCTTTGGGCAGCAGAGGACACCTTACCTGGATAAATCCTGTTCAGAGCGTCCGGGTGAAGACTCGATCCAACCAGTCGGAGAATCGTGGACACAGAGCGGCAAGCTAAGAGTCGGGCCATCTGCGAGTCCTCTTCCAGAGCTGACAACATCGGAGGACTCAGTTTCACCTCAACACGCAGCACCTGAAATTGTGTTTAGAGTGAGAACGATATGGCCAAACTGTTGCATCATATTCTGTAGTAAAATAAAATGTCAGAGGTACAATAACATCTTCAAAACCAACAGGAAATTGATAAACGAGGCACAAGTTAATGGATTGGCCACTGAACTGATTTAGATTAAACAGAATCTTTATTGTAGCAAAGCAATGCAAAACAGCTGTTGAAAAGAGAAGGGGGAATCCTGGCCTTGACATGAACATGTTAAGATGACGAGCAGGATTGAGTTGTGAGGAAACACTGGTCCATCTGATGAAATGCCTTTTTGAGAAAGTCCAGAAAACACATCTGGAATACACTGATGTACAATTTATGCTGATCTTCAAAGGCTCCTGAGGTAATGGATATTTTTGCGTTCATATATCTGGTGTCAGCCGGTGCAGTTCACGAAGGCGTGCTAGTCAGTTTTGCCTAGTCACTTTGGAAAAGAAGCCTGTTTTGAACACACACAGTTAGTGGGCACAGCGGCAGGTGCACAGGGCAATGTCCTGTTAAAAGGTGCTGCTGTTCACAAACGGAAGCATTGTTCCTCTGAGACAAAGTTATGTGAACCTGCTTGACCTTGTGTGCACCTGCTGCTGCCACTGGCCAAGTCTGATGATGGCCCAGTTATTTCCCTGAAGGATCGAGTGGGACATTCATAGGATGAAAATGGTCTAAACAGAAATACTAAATTTAATCCCATCTCATGGATATAAACACAAATCTGTTTCCCTTCGGTCTTCAGCCCCATGTGTGAGTTTGACTGAGGTCATGTGGTTCAGGCACCTGTGCAGGTGTGATGGCTCCTCCATGCAGCAGGGCCAGTAGGCAGCTGATGGCTGCCGTGCGCACAGCAGCTGCAGTCCTCCCTGCACGCCACACCATGTTAGGAAGCAGGATGTCACAGAGAAACTTTTCTGAATGCTCCAGGAAAAGGCTGTGGAAATAAATGAACCATATAAGCAACGGGAATTGTGTTAAGTTTGACTCTCAGAGCGTGCAGTGAGAAACTATAAGCTGTACTGGGCATGGGGCTCAGTCCAACTTCCACAAGTGTCAAAACTCAAATGTAAGGCCAGACATGTTTCAACATTATGGATTTCCAAAGAAAAGATGAGCAGGACTTGTCGCCCGTGTCTCTGTGCACCACTGCCAGGGAAGTGTGAGTGTGCAAGAGCAGCCTTTACAGAGAGGCTTTTGTGCTGCTGAAACAGCTCTAGACAGAGAACAAATGATTTTCTCTCAGAGCAAGAAACTGCCTCTGGTCAATATTAGGACCAGACAGGTCCAAAAATGTCTTGTGTTTTTGTCACATGAGTATTTTAAATATTTATCTTGATGGCCCTTTTTATGTTGAAAAGGGACTTAACAGAGATGCCTGTGGCAGTTTACACGTCCACACAACACATCATTTTATGTCCTTATGAGAGAAAGGCTCTTTCTACCAATTATTAATGGCTCGATGCAAAAAGAAAGAGACGAGTTTCATGTGCTTGTCCTGATCGGGTTAATGGCTAAAGCATTTGTGAGTGGGCTGGTGTTTGGGAAGTAAAAGAAGGAATACTGGCAGAACACACAGACCAACATTTGTAGTAAAAGTGTCATAAGAAACCCACTTGGTGTTGATGCTCAAAGGATTATATAAATGCATGTGAGAACGAATATTCATCTTTGGCTTTTTAGTATCCGAATTGAAATCTAAGTAATATATATGCATGTATAAATGCCCAGTTGGCTCCGCTCCAGGGTCACAGGCAACAAAGAAGTTACCATAGTAACACTATGGACAATGTTTGCCTTTCTGAATGACATGAGCAGCTGCTGTCATCACTTCAGTTCTGGCCGTAGCTGAACACATTCTCTGAGATTAAACTTTGAGCAGAGCAGCTCAGAAACCAAGCATAGTTCCTCAATCACAAATTCTACATTTAGGAATTGTCCCACAATTAGAAAACTAGACAATTGGAATATATAGACACTGAAAAACCTGTGTGTGCAAATATGTGTGTCTTGTGGCTAAAACTTTTTTTTAAAAATACACACAAATAATTACGAAGACAAATATTATTCAGCATTTTCCATGTACCAAAATTAAGCCATAAATGATCACTTCCGAAGAAGCCAGGGGGCCTGCTCTCACCCTTGAGAATCCACGGTGTGCGGAGCCTCCAACAGTAATTTGGCCATCATAGTGAGAATACTCATTTTCATCTCATGATCTTTTTCTGGTTGAAGACATTTCAGGAGAATCTGCATCAAGCGGCCCACGAACTCGCCAATCACTGGACCTTCAAGGACAAATATTTGAATCAACAACAATTTGATGAAAATGTGGTGAAAACTGCGCAGTGTTTAGTTTGTGTTTTGTCTATGGACATATTTGAGCACTCGGGCCGTAGATGGAGAGGGGGCCGAGGCGACAGTGACGCACAAAGACACATAAAGAGGTCTTTGTCTTAACAGTGACTAATATCAGTCGGACTCTAAGCGAAAAACACACAATACAAGCAGCCTGGTCGCAGCTCAGGTCATGCTTACACACACCCACACAGTCTAACAGCGAGTTTACAGAGTTAAAAATAGTTGTGTGTAATGAGTGATAGGTGTGCGCCAGTGGACGTGAGCCATAGGAAATCCTGTGGCTGGCTAAAGGTGACGGCAGATAAAGGAAACAGACGAATCGAGAAAAAATGCTCTGAAGGGAGTATCCGTGTCTGATTTCACTTTCATGTTATTCTGTTTTGAACACGAGCGAGAACAAAAAATACCTCTGAGAAAAAGGATTCTCCAACCAGATAAAGTAAACGTATACATAAACAATGGCAAAAGTAAATGTATACATAAACAATGACAAAAGCTGTGGGTTTCCCTAGTTCTCCTCCAAGGTTTCTCACTTTTTCCCACTGGGTTTTTTAAGAGTTTTTCCTTGTCGATGCAGGAGGGTCTTGTTGGACAGTTAGTGTCCAACAGAAAGGATTGGTGATGATCAGGACACTTTAGCATTCTACAACATGTATGGACATTTTCTTCTGTGTGTGCTTTATATTCTTCATGTGTTTTAACTGTTGATTCTCTGACCTGTGTTGGTGATTTCAATGGTTTTGTTAAGTCCTCTGAGATGACTTCTGTTGTGACCTAGGGCTATACAAGAATAAATTGTATTGTATTGTATTGTATTGTATACATAAACAATGGCAAAAGTAAATGTATACATAAAAGAAGATTGTTCTTTTATTAAAGGATGGATGTGGATGTGATTTTCACCTCATATTACATTCATTTATCATTCTCCTTACCCCACTATATTAATATCTCAGTCGTAACTTGCCCAAATCCTTCCACCACCCTCCTTTGAGTTTTTAATGCACCACAACTCATACACAGGAATATGTATATGTATATATATATATATATATATATATATGGATACAAATACATAATACACATGCTTACAAGAAGAAGAGAAAAGGAAGGAAAAGAAAAGGGGGAAAAAAGAAAGAACTAGTAGGGATACAGGACACATGGGAGATGTCATGGAACAGTACCCCTGCCCCAGGTAAAAAACCTCCCATAGTGTCCTTTTTAATGCACTACATTAGACAGACAAAGGAGCAATGAGGGTGATGGGGAATGCATCAAATTGCTAAAATAATGCATACACACTCTCACTCACTCTCACACACTCACACACACACACTCTCTCACACTCTCTCTCACACTCTCTCTCACACTCTCTCTCACACTCTCTCTCACACTCTCTCTCACACTCTCTCTCACACTCTCTCTCACACTCTCTCACACTCTCTCACACTCTCTCACACTCTCTCACTCTCACACACACATACACACTCTCTCACACTCTCTCACACACTCTCTCACACACTCTCTCACACTCTCTCTCACACTCTCTCTCACACTCTCACACACTCTCTCACACTCTCTCTCACACTCTCTCTCACACTCTCTCACACTCTCTCACACTCTCTCACACTCTCTCACACTCTCTCACACTCTCACACTCTCACACACACATACACACTCTCTCACACTCTCTCACACACATACACACTCTCTCACACACACATACACACTCTCTCACACTCTCTCACACACGCACGCATACACTGTATCTTGTCTGTCTTGTTGTAACTGTATTTGTTTGTACGTCTATCTTCACAATAATAATAATAATAATAAAGAAAAAGAAAAGGATGGATCGGGCACTTGTTCAGCCATAGTTTGTTTCCTTGAAGTAATCAAAGGCAGAAGTTACACTAATCCACGTACACGGTTGAGAAAAGCACCGTTTATTTTATTATTATTTTTTTTTAACACATCAAAACTACACCACACACACCCACTAACAAAAAACAAAAACAAAACACTGTCCTCACACTGTTACAACTGTTACAAACGACAATCACTACATTTCCACTATAAACACTTCTGTGATATCCAGCAATAACAGTGACCTACACACACACACACACACACACACACACACACACACACACACACACAAGCACAAAATGTATTAAATCCGAGCATGAAACCCTAAAATGTATTAGAACCTCCCCTCCCTCCCTCCACTTATTCCTTATCAGTAGTAATTTCATGTAAATATTGATTTGCATGGTTTCATTATAATGCAATGTGTCACTCATGTTCTTGATGCTTCCAATAAAAGATGAAAAAAAACACACACACACACACACACAGACAGACACACAAACATGGACACAAGTCCCAGCTTCAAAGCGACCTTGATGTAGAGAAGGGTCAAAAGCGGAGAGGTATTGTGCCGTTTGAAGTCGTGACCAGTCCAGTTAGCTCATTGAGTGTGTGTGAGTGTGTGTATTTGAGGATTAGAACGGCCCAGCCAATTAGAACGAGGGTGAGTCTAGACAAGAAAAAGTAAGAGATGAAAGTGTGGTGTGGCGAGGCGTTGATCACCGAGGATTATTTAGTTTGGGAGGGAGATATGATGAGGGCCACAGAATGAAAGATGGGGGCGCAGATAGACATGTTGTGTACGCACGGAGATTGACAAATGCTTTGGACAAGGGTGAGGCTAGTGAACGGATATACACAGAGCTAAATTCTTATCATCCCTCATTCTTTCCTCTATTCCTACGGCTTTTAAACTTTGAAATTCATTTGATAGTAAATGCAAATAGGTACCGGTGCTTGCATTGTTCATATGTACCCTTTAGAATGTATTGTATAACCTCTTAAAATTTCAATTTCACGTTTTTTTGCCAGTTTAACTTGAATGGTTAAACTCACGCAATTTCTAAATATAATCTTCTGAAACGACTTTGGTAGAAATTCTAAAACTACTGGAAGAACAGCTGGTGGTGTTGACTTAATAATGGATCTTGTATGAACAGGACAAAAAGCGTGGCGCTCAAATTATGACGCAACGTGTTATGTCTTGACAAGCTCTGGGGAGGATTTTGTCCGCAAACCAAGCGAACCCTGCGTATTTACAACTATGAAACCATCTTCAATCAAGTTTTTAGATAAGCTGGTGGAACGCTCGGGCATGTTTTGTTTGATATCTTTAGAAAAACGAAACATGAAGATACAAAACTAATCATCAGTGACATGTTAGTGTCGTATGAACAGACTCGGGACTCTGAGGAGCACAGGGACTGGCCTCTTGCTGGTGCCCGGAGTCAGAACTAAACATGGGGAGGCAGCATTTCAGATTCACGCATTCAATCTAGAACAGTCTTCCTAAAAAATGTGAGCACTTTGAGTTTCCTTTTTTATATGAATTGTGCTAATCTGCGCTATAGTACGCATGTTTAAACTTCAGTTCCCACCTGATTGTGTGACTATGATATGTAGCTTGAGCCTCTCCAGGGAATAACTGGTCCAGCTGTTGACAGAGGTGCAGAGCCAGTCCATCAGCTGCTCCATGTGGACTCTGTAGAGCTGCTGCGGCGAGTCCAGGCCCTGCACCTTACACAGCACCTGCAGACTGACTATGGCCTGAGGATCAGAGGGATAAAACACAAAGTGAAGAGCGTACATGGTGAATAAAACTGTTTTTCTGTGATGGTGTATAATATTTTACGTGACAGTACATCTACCACAAGAGCAACAAACACCGAATTGTCTTTCACTTTCCCCACTGTGAGACAAATAAAGAGAGCTTGTCTATCTTAGTCAGGAGACATATCTGTTAAATGCCAAACCCTGGGAAAGACAACATAGTCTGAATCATCGAAAACATCTTTGATAAAAACTAAGAGACAGGAAGTCACAATGTCACAGGAACTGAGTAAGCCACACACAGTCACACACAGATGCATTAATAAAGCTGAGAGGAAGGAGCAGAAATGAGAGAAAGAAGAGTAAATAATTAGCCGACTCTTCAGGGGAGGAAAGTGACCTGTCAGGGCACTTTATAGTTCCTTCATGGTCCCTCAGGGATGACCAAGGACCTAAACAAAAGCTAAATCAGACATTTGGGTCAGTTGTGGGTCCAAAGAGACCTAGACAACCGTGACATGACGGCTGATGGGAAAGACTGTCCCCTTTATTTTGGGAAAACATATTCTGCTCCTTTCCTTTCGGTCCTGGGACTGCCTCAGGCCATTCTCAGCCATAGTGGTTTTAATTTATTCCTCCTTGCCTCTTCTTCAGCATGGTATCACAACACACTCTCATTAGAGTCTGGAAAAAGAAATAGTGGTAACATACGGCGTCTGGATAAAATCTGGGCCAGGCCTCAAAAGGGTTTGCTTATTATTAACCTCCCACAAACTTGGAAAGTGAGATTACACTTTGGAATCAGTTCACTTCACTATCACCTGCATCACTGCTCCTGTGCACTGAATTCCAGTCTATTAAGTCATTTGTCTGCGCTGTCTGGGCTAACCACCCACAAACAGGATGATGCACCTGGAAATCCGCCACTTTATTTCCTAATATTCTGTTTTATTGTCCCATTTCTAATAAACCGGGAAAAGCTATGCTATTTATCATGTTCTACTAGACTTATAAAAGAGGCCATTTAAAGATATACAAATTGGGTGCTGTACAATGTGAAGAGAAAAAAGTACCTGTAAACACAATTAGAGACAGAGAGTATAGTACTTTGACTAGTTTTACCCTTTCAGTGAGTTCTGGCTCCGTGGAAAGACTCTGCACTGTGACCAAGACTTTGAGGAGCTGCAGACTGACAGAACTGCATTCAGAATCACATTGATGCAACAGGACGTCGACACAGGCCAGCAGCTGCTCCAAGTACACGACCTGGAACAAAAAGCCACAAACATTTAGCATAAAAGTAACTACACCGGTAACAAGAATAGGACATACATTATTGGTACATATCAGCCATTCAGTATTGGTATGGAGCTGACTTTCTCTCCCATTATCAGTAAATAGCGCAAAATCAAAAGCTCAGCAGGCAGATTGGTATGTTCAGATTGTTTAATAGCTAGAAGAACACGATTTAGTTTCATATTTGCAGTTATAAGCACAAACTGAACCCCCCCCCCATGTTCTCCGGGTAACTCTGGTGATGCGTGTGTTTCAACATTTCTCTTCACATGTATAGCCTGTAGAATTGCGTCAACATAAAATACAAGGAGTGCTGTGCTGTGAGAAGGGGCGGAGCACATGGGCTGGGGGGCCTTTACCAGTGGGGGCCCCTGACATAACACAATAATAATAATAATAATAATAATAATAATACACATATTTAGATCATATACCGAAGGTCTGATTGTAATTTTTTATGCATTACCGGTGCAATGAAAATGAATAAATTACATGGCGGGTGTAAATGCTACAAATACACACAAATGCATTTATCTATACAAGTTTTGTGTTGAGTAGACTCTACAATGTAATATATACAGTAACTAGATATGGCCATCATAATTTACCATTTGAACATAAACTTTACTTTACAGGGTGAGGTCTGTGGTGCTTTTTCTTATGCTATAAAAGTTTCAGATAATAAATAAACAATACACATCACCAGCATTTCATTTTCCACCACAGAAGAATGTGCTCGTCTGGTGCTGCCACTTGTCAACCAGTGTTGTGATGTTGTGGTGAGCTCATGTTTAAACAAAGTCTCGGCTCAGGCTAATTTCCATGCCGTTACTGGGATCATGGCCCCTTTTCCGGTTTGGGTCTGGCCTGTTATTAGGGCTGTTTGGAGGAGAAGGGATCGGGGGGTGTAGTTACAAGGTAGACTTGGGCAGGGGGCTGTGTGTGTGTATGTATTTATAAGTGGAGGGGTTTAGAGTAAAACACCTCCAGGTATTTGGTGTAGTGATGAGGAGTTGGTTTTGGAGGGCAATTCAATAAACACACAGTCACTGGATAATCTGAATCACTAGGGGGCACTCCTCATGTTCTCAGAGTATACACACAACGACACGCTTGCCGTTTGTCTGCGGATGACAGGACTTGTATGAAAGATGTATTTGTCCGGAAATTGTAAAGAATCATAATCTTTAAACTCAAGTAGTGGCAGAACATATTTAGAGGTATTAAAGAGGAAGGAAATTCTAGCTCTTGAAGTGAACAAATGACTTGAGGAAATAAAGGAACAAAGAATAGAAGAAAAGAAACATGCAGACATAACGTAGTAGTGGCACACACACGCATATTACAAACACTTGGAAAACAATCATTAGGGCTGGTCCAGGGAGAAAAAGCGTGAACGGAAAAAGTGTTACCGTGTAATGAGTAGGTGGACACCTGGAGCGAGGCACCATACACCTGGTTTTGTTGGTCTGGGCACGCTGCTTCAGCTTGTTACAAAGTGTGTTCGCCGTTCGTCGCATACATCAGTTGCTTGTACACACATAGCAATTCCAGGGGGAATGTAACTGCATACTTTTGTCGTGTAATCTACCCGAGAGCATTTTTGGAGCTTGCATCATGATCATAATCACAAAGTTATTTTTGAAAATGGGGCGGCAGGCTCCACCCGAGTTGAATTAAAATTGCAGGTTGAATAAGTAGCAAATCATATCACTCAATGGCTACAATTATTTGAGACAAGTGTGCTTCCAAATGTACCCAATCCTGCTCTGTGCGGACTAAATGTTGATTTTTTACGAACAAAAAAAGAAAATGGCACAACATTTCAGACTAATACATATCACAATTAACAATACATATAAAGTTGGGGTCTCTAACTCCCCATGTAATGGATTTTATGTTTCCCAACAGTAATATTCTTGTTAAAGTACAATTCTGTAAACAAACATCATGCTGTCTTTATCCAAACATTTTATATTTGGAATACTTCCTTTGAGTCACTGCTGTGATGTATTTTAGCTTTGAGCTGATTGGCTGAGCAAGACTCGTTCACTTTTCTTTCTGAAAAAGCTGATTTTAAAATGTGACAGAAGCCAAAAAATACATGCACGCGCCAACTACAGATAGCAGCAAAATGAACCACAGTAGCTAAACGGATTTTTATATTTAATCTTTTGGTGGTTGAAAACTGAGGTACCCCAGCTTTAAGACCACAAGCCTGTAAAACCTTTGTATGAGCAATAGTTGCGCTGGTGCCAAAGTATTCAGTTGTAGTAGCAGCAGTTGCATGAGTAGCTATCCATGCCCACTCCTCAGTTACCGCTGCCTTGGAAACGGGCAAACAAAACAGCCGGCCATTTGTCGTCAGGTAATGTTTGCTGACCTGCCTTTCTTCTCTTTTCTCTATCTGTCGCTCGGTCAATAAAGGAGTCATATGCACATGTCACTCGCAATAAATAACAGGCATGCCAGCACACAGACGCATGACCTCAAATGTTTGCATATAGAGGTACAAAGTATTCAGGGATATAATTAGCCTGAAACTGGGGTACAGAACTTTTTTTTTCCACATTTACTTTTCATTTAGTTTGGCCCAACAGAGAGAGTCTTGCAAAAGAAAAAATGTTGTGGATAAAGCAGCCCACAAAATTCCTCTTTATACAATTTTATATATTTATCTATTTTTGAATGTACTTGTAGGAAAGTAGTAAGTACTATTTGACTCCTTGTATGAGCAATAGTAGTACTAATGACAAAGTCTGCATGTGAAAACTATAGTGATAGACGCAAACTGTTTTTGAGAGAATATAGTTAGATGGAATTGATTACATAGAGGCATTTCTGTGGCATTTCAAAGTTAGGTACTGCAGCTGAAAAAGGTAGTCGCGGCCAATACGGGAAACTGTTTATTTTTCCAGTAATTCTCTGTGGTGCTTTTTGAACTGCATAAATATGGTTGCAAAAATATGTGGCTATTTTCAATGTCTTTGTTCCTTCACCCAGCCTTATATGCATCATATTCCTTACGCAAACCTTGCACACGGCTATGTAAGGTGCATCGGTTTTGCGTTTGCTTATCCGCTTAGTAATCATTCCTGTAACATTGAGCTGTCATAGAAAAACAAACAACAATTTTGCAGTACTATGTGCAAATCCAGTGGCTTGTCTAACCAGAGCAACTCCTGTTATTCTACCTCACATTTGAAACATCCTGCTTTCTTTCTTATTTTTTACAGAAAGCATATGTCATGTATTACTTTAAGTCATGACTCTTTCCGGTAAAATATAAAAAAAAGTGTCAAGAAAGAGGAAAAGAGGTTATATTGTAGCACATACGGCATTTCGGCTTCTAGATACAACTTGCTCAGCTTGTCCCCCAATCTCCCCACAGGGCCTTGCAGTCCCACCCCGATCTCTGTACACTTTGAAGATTATTTATATTTCATATCTTAACAGGCTTCATCTTATCCAAGTCAAACCATGCATTTTCATTTCTCATTGCCTCTGGTTCATATGGCACATAACTCTGCAAAGCTGGATCAGAGTTCACATATTTTAAGTTCCTTATTCCTTATTAAAAGAAAACAACTGATATAAAACATGTGCATTTTGACTTTTTGTCTTGTTTTTATCTGTCCTTATCTGTCTTTTACGGGAGAGCGAGATAAATAACTAATAAAATGCTATGAAATGGATGAATGGGTTTGTGTGGCCAGACAAGTGTGCAGTATTCTAAGGGTATCTTTTGTTTTCTTTATTTGTCTGTTAAATGGATATATGTAAAAATAAGTATTGTGCAGGTTTTAGCTAAAAAAATAAATACAAATATACAAAGTTTCCCTCAGGTATATTCAATTAGACCTATATCATCTTCAAGGTTCATGTTGTCATCGTTCAACATTTCACAGCAATGCATTTATACAATGGTTATACGTTGGTGAAAATGTACAAAATAGAATTCTCTGAATATACCTAAATATGTAGAATAAAACTTGCAAAAGAAAGTCAGATCTCAGCAGGTAAGCAGAGAAGGGTCTGGTTAGTACTGTGATGGGAGACCTCTGGGAACAGATGTAGTCGTGTCTGGTCTATGCACAAATGATTGGTGATTGGAAGGACCGATGGCACTGGTTAGCAGCTTGCTTCAGTCAGTTTGCCCAGGTCAGCCGCGGCTTCAGTAGCGGCTCACTATCGCAGAGTACGGAGTGAATGGAAAATGCCACGTAAAGCATCTTTGAGTGTCTGCACAAAAGCTCTACATAAAATAAACGAACTAAATATAACTAAGTAAATTAACTAACTAACTAAAATCCATCCAGTAATGTGTACTATTGTTTTCTTGTTTGTAGGTAAGTATGTTTATATACATAGCGCATTTTACAGACCAAGGTCACCAAAAGCGCTTTACAATGTTCAGAGTTCAGATATTGTTCCAAGCATTCCACACAAGGTGATGACGGAAGCGAGTCGCCGAACACACTGGCGCATCAGCCCCCAATCAACACCATCCATTCACTCTGTCATTTACATTCAGACCTAGCCTGGCCTTAGCCATCCGTACACTCCGCTCAATCATCATTTCACTGCATGTAACGTCTGGGTCTGGTCCCCGTGTTAGCGATTACAATCGGTTGAATTTCGACCGACCATTCAGAGAGCGTGGGAGGCGGGTGTTGTAGTTAGTTGTGGGTGATGTCAAGAGTTTGCGTCGAACAGGCAGGTTGTAGTTTGGTAATGGCAAAAAATGCGATAGTAAAGTAATCCGGTCTGGTTCTATCAAGAAATTGAAGCCAGAGCAAAGGTAATGTTTAGCAAATGCAATCGCTCGAAAAAAGTGTGGCACTACTCCCCACGGGCTCCGTTAGTGGCAAAGGAGATGGCTAGGCTAAATGCTAACAACAGACTCGAGCGTACTACATACGTCACGGTAAACTCAGATCCAATCGTTTCAATCTGCAAAAGGAGAACCCCTCCCACCTGTAAACGGAGCTCAAAGGAGCACCTCCAGACCTTAGTACGAAATGTCATTTGTACTATGGTGTGGTACGACCAGGCTAATTCAGACCTAATGTGCATGTTTTTAGTGGTAGGGGAAACCGGAGCACCCGGAGAAAACCTACACAGACACGGGGAGAACATGCAAACTCCACTCAGAAAGGCCCTGTTCCGACCGAGAGTGCTATCCACTCAGCCACCGTGCCTGTTAGTTAATTAGAGATTTTTATGTTTATGTATTTATGTTATGCTGCAAATTAGTCTTTGGCTAGAAGCCCTTTGTACTTGACATTGGTTGTCTATGGGTGACGATGTTTTTTGTACTGTCCCTGTCAAATATATAAATACAATAAAAATAAAATGTACTTTGTGTTTCTGCTGCTGGTCACCCGAATCTTGTCTACAATATTATTCCCAGCAACCAAGTGCCATGGCCGTGCTACCTTCAGTGACCTTGTTATCAAAGATGCTGCAGGTGTATTTAGACTCTTTTAGCTCATGCTCCTAAACACAACCTGCCATAAAACAGACCGCAGTCGATGAAGAGAGGAAACAGAGCTCGGCAACTATCTGCGTGACAATGTGTGACCATCCTGTTCTGTGGTTCCCCCCTCTGGATGACCCCGACTCCACTGGAACAAGAGAACAGAGAAGCTTCCTTTCCCATTTATCACATGGGCCCGAGCAGACAGGCTTTGAAATTTCAGGGATTGTTTTAAAGGCTTGGCATTGAGTCAGGAAGAAAAAAAGGTGGTGAACTCTGGTCTTTTTTTGTGCGACCTTACACAGAACTATAAAAACAGACATTGTGTTGCCGTGCAGACTAGCAGAGGTCACCAGAGACATGCTGGGGTCACATGGAATTAGTGGATTTATTATTATATACTGTGGGGGAATTCACAGTGAGGGATATGGTAAAGGTGAGTTAGAGTGAGAGCAATTCTGAAAATATGATTTGAAGGAAAACCTGTTTTTAGGAAAACAGAATGACAAAAGAGGACATGACTAATATTTTCCAGTTTGTGAAGAAAGCATCTTAGTTATTTCTGTTGGCGTTTTACGGTCTTACGGGAGCTGTACACATGGGAAGACACATTTTGAATCACTGTTTAAAGAGTGTCACTTAAGCCAACTTAGCATCTCCAGAGCAAACTCGCTGAACTTGCTGCTAACAGAGGTGCTATTGAAACGGGAGCGCCACATCAAAATGATCAAGAAGCCCACTTACAAGCAGAAACGGGTTCAATGTAAATGAATGAATGGAACATAGAGGACATATTGGATGTTTTGAGGCTCAGACGTGGATGTAGAGTGATCTTTCCACAAACTGTGGTGCAGCAGTTCAATAATTAAAGCTGGGGTGCCACACTTTTAAACCACAAAACATTTAACTATGTAATAAAATACATTTCGCTCCTCGCTCTGAAAACGGTTTGTTCTAGTTTCCACATGCATGCATTTGGGCCTTTGTCCCATCTTAAGATCCAGTTTTTCGAGAAAGAGAGAAAGTGAGAAAGAGAGGACCTCCCTGACTCAGCCATCAATCAGAAAAAGATAATATTTATTTTTTCTTATAATTATAATCCTTTTTTTTCCAAACACGAATGAACCATAGACTGTATGAATTCATGTCTTTCAAATCAGCATCAAATTTTTTTTGGGGGTGGTACCCTAACCCTAACCCTAACCCTAACCCTAGCCCTTATAAATGTGTGATGTTTACAGATTGTTTTTGTTTGATTTGGATTGATTGTGAAGCTAAATAAATAATAAAACCATTAAAAAATACATGTTTTCTTATATGTTAAAAATCAAACAAATGTTGTGGTCCAATTTGTTCACATAATTTTACAAACAAAAAATATTATAAATAAAACAACAAGTTTAGGTACCCCAGCTTTACTCCATTGAGAATAAACTTTATTTTAATAGTAGTACATGGTAAAGAACCAGATATTTAGATATGGTGATACTTGAGAGTGGTTCTTTCAGTGAAAAGTGTTTTAGTGTGGACGAGAAAAACTGAAATAATTAGTGCCCATTTCTAAAACAAATATTCCTTCTCCTCACCTGTTGATACTGCTGGCAGATGTCGGGTTGAGCTAAGGTGTTGGTCACTTCTTCCAGGTGTGGTTTGAGGAGGGGCTTGGGGCAGCCTCCTAACACTGCACTCAGCACCATAAGAGGAGTCCAAGGATGAGACACGGAGCAGGGGTATGTCACATGACCGAGCATTAACTTGAGGAAGACCGCAGGAGGGACAAAGGTTCCCAATAGTTTTGCAGCTTCCAGACACTACAGCATGTGTGGGCAGAGAGAAAGAGATAACAACAGGATGTCAGTAACAGGAAACAATGTATAAACCTTGCACATCTATAAAAGATCGAGTGAAAACAGATGCATTCAAGGGCTGTGTTTGACCCAGAGTCAAATGAGAACCTGATACGAAGCTCAGCCGTTGTGTTCTCGTAATCATTTATCAAGAATGTGGTTGTTTTTTTGGTTGGATCTGGGACATTTATGAACATTGGTCACTGCTGGACACTCTCTCTGTTCTGGAGAGCAGTTTCAGTGACAGACTAATTCATCCTAGCTGTGTGAAGGAGAGGTTTCGTAGGTCCTTCCTCCCTGCTGCTGTCAGGCTGTATAATAAAAATGTACTGTATAAAGTGTCACTGATAATAATTCACTAGAAACTTAGTCACTAGTCACTTTACCTGTTATTATTATTACTGCATTATTACATAAACGTCCATTTGCTGTCATTCACTAGTCACTTTACTGCTGATATTGTTACTATTGTTAATTCTGCTCATATTCTCCGCTGCTAAAGTACAATATACACATTTATAAATACTTCTGAACCAAGTGCAATTATAGCTCCAAAGCTCTAGAGATTATTTTACTTAACCATCTTATTTTTTTAATTCTACTGTCTATTATCTTAAATATTAGAATCTGTTTGAATCGTAAAATCTGTGTGCTTTCTCTGCTGTAATCTTATCATCCTGCTCCCATATGGACAAATGGCTACATACAATAATACATTGAATTAGATGTCAATAAACAAATAAATTAACTGCAATCTTGGCATTATAATGAGGATATGAGTAATACCTTCAATACTTACATTGTTGACGACGTCCTTTTCTGTGTCTGTGCAGGCCCGATAAAGCACGGTCAGCAGAGGCTGGAGGTGTTGTGTGCTGTGGTCCTCAGCGTGAAGGAGCAGCACAGACAACAGTTGTGACGTTCGAATCCGAGTGGCGACCAACCAATCGGTGACGTCGTGGGTGATCGCAGGTACAAGTCTGCCGAGGTTTCTCACAACAAGCTCTCGACAGCCCAGCCCCGGACGCTCCACTGCAACATGGGAGACAATTGGAGATTTTTTTTCATATTGTTATTTAGATGATTATGTATAGTATCAGTGCATTCTATATGGTCCTTTTTTGCGTAAAACTATTTTGTGTGGTTAATTTTGAACAATATCCCTCATAAAAAAAAGATCTAAAAGTATGATTATTTTTACTGGAATATACTTTACCCTCTAATCGTTCATATAGATCGAATGAAAAGGGAAAAGGGAAGTCTACAAGTAGCAAAGGAAGGAGATAAATCAAGGAAACAAAACGGGACAAGACAAAACAAGCTTCTTTCTGGTCGTTCCTCACCGCTGACAGTGACCTCCTCACATTGGGAGGGCCCACAAATTTACGAGTGACAGGGAGAGAAAAAATAAAAACTGTCCGATTTCTTTTATTACTGTCCCTCGGCAAAGACTTATTAAGTCATGTACATGTGTAGTAAAGAGGGTTTGGGAACACACAAACTTGACCCACATAAATTTTGTCTTTTTGTACGAGGCTACAGTGGTGAACTTGTGAAGGGCTCGTCCACCGTCAGGGCCCTGGGGCAGACAGTCAATCTCTCCACATACAGCTCTGGCACTGAATACTAGCCTGTCTAACTAACTGCTATAGTATAACAGAAGCTACTGTACAGTACTGGAGAAACAGTAAAAGAAGATTTACTGCAGTGTAGAGAAAGTGAAGCAACTAGAATAACACTATTTAAATGTCGTTTGTAAGAGGACCAATGGGATTAAAGTTTATTTTAAGATTAAAATCCTGCTCAATAAAAAGTCTCTCTTGCATAATTTATGGTAATACTTCAATCTTATGGGGTGTAGAAGGATATACAGTAATAACCATAATTTCTACAACATACGACCATAACACAGACTCAAACTGTAGTAGATGATTTTGTACATTCACCTCCTGATGGATAAAAGGGAGGTGGGGTGAGGAGAAAGTCCAGCTTGTCTTTTATATCGTCCTCATTCTCCTTTTCCCATTGAGCACCAACTTGTCTCCATAGATCCGCAGCTTGAAGTCTGTGTAAAAGATCAAATATTTTATAGCAACCAAATCTACTTCCAACAAACTTAGCATTATCTTACCTGATTTCAGGTATCTCATCACCGATGTTTGTTAGAAGTAGTGGAAGAAGTTTGTGGAAGTACGAGTATCTGTCTGGCAAGTGGAGAAGCCAGTGACCAACAACAACAGTCACAGCTTTTCTTACCTTGAGCAAAAAGTAGAAAGAAGATGGTAAATGGGGAATAGTAGCAGTCATTTCATTTAATTACTCCATATTATTTACAGTTCAACAATACATTAAAATAATAAGAGTAATATTCATGAATAATAATTATCAATCACTATGTGTAACACAAAAATTACCTGTGGCGAGTCGTCGAAAAGTCTCTGTGCCAAATGAGACACTACATCGTTGACATTTTTGCCGGTGCCGTATTGAATGACTGCTCCTGTGGCCTCAATAGCAGACACTCTGACCCTGGAGTGCTGATGAGATACTGTCTGCATTAGAGGCTTCACCAGACTCTCCGCCTGCATGTGGAAGTGCTCTGCAGGGAAAGAGAGAAACTTACCTTTAGACAGTATTGGAGCTGGAACAGTTAAAAAGATGAATAGCAACTGATCGATTAGTGAAAGGATTTAGAAACTGAATAATCCAAAGTGCAGTGAAGCGGTTTTATGATTAAAACAGAGCTGTAAATAATTATTGTCAAATCAAATAGAGAAGAATGTATTTATATCTTTAAAAAAATACATTCACTCCAACAATCCAATAAACCAATTATCAGAATATAGCAATACAGCAATTTAGCACAAATGGCAGTTATAATTTAGGGTTATGATTATCAAGTTATCCATTACCGGGTTGCATTGAGTTGCCGGGTCACTGCCGACAGCATTCTAAGCAGAGATGCCCAAACTTTCTTTTCCACCCTTAATTCCTCCAGCTCATCCAAGGGAGTCCCCAGGCCAGCTGAGAGACAAAGTCCCTCCAACTGGTCTTGGCTCTTCCCTGGGCCTTATCCTGGTGTGACATGCCCGGAACACCAACCCAGAAAGGCATCCAGTAGTCTTCCAAAACAGATGCCCAAGCCACCTCAATGGCTCCTCTCCACGTGGAGAAGCAGCGGCTCTACTCAGAGTTCCTCCCGTTAGGGGGATCTTCTCACCCTATCTTTAAAGAAAACTAATGTCGTATTTTGCGATCTTGTCTTTTCGGTTCTTACCCAAAGTTTATGACCATAGGTGAGGGAAGGAACAAAGATTGACCGGTTAATTGAGGGCTTTGCCTTTCGACTCAGCTCCCTTTTCACCAAACCTCTGAACACTAAAATATACTAATTTAATAACAGATACAAATGCATCAAAATGGCTAAGCATGTTGTAAATATCTTCATTACAGACATTTTGTCCACCTCATGTGTCTGCAAAGGAAGATGTTCACCCACCACTTTTCTGAAACCATAGCAACAGAAACTGTCAACAATGACCAACCTGGCACACATTTAGCAAATCGTGTTGTACATTTGCAGCTTTCTCTTTTCACATCCGGAAAGGGGTCCACGATGCTTCTTTGAAGTATATTCATCATTTCATTTAAATAAGGCGCCATGTGTTTCCCGCACACCTCAACAGTTAGTGACAGCATCTCCAAAGTCGAAAGCCGAAGCTCCTCTGAAGGCTCCAGGATGTCTTTATCCCCAAACCGCTGAGCCAAACACGGCATTAGATATGATAACGACTCCTCAGGCTTTGGAACACAACGAAGAAATTCAAATAACATGGTTATAGCCGTTTCTCTGCATCTCTCCATTGGATCGGACAGACATTTGAGAAGAGGCTTCAGCAGGACAGTAAACACTTCCTGAAGCACGTCGCTGGAAAGTTGTTTGTCGATTGTTTCCTTTTTGATCTGCTCAATAGCACGCTTCCGTGTCGCCTTGTTGTCTTCATTTAGGCAGTTTAGATAACGATTTAGTGCTCTCAAAACCTCAGAAGAAGCATGCTGCTCTCCTGCCGCCATTGCTGCCGTGTATCTGTTGCTGTGGTAACCAGTGGTTGTACGACAAAAACAAACGACTGCTTTACGGTAGCGCCATTTAGAAACTGCATGCGTAGATTACAACAGGTTTAAAAACACTCGATGGTTTAAACACTTTATTATTTCACAGATGCTAGTTTAAGCCCAATTTCTTCTGTTTTAATTATTATAAAATAAAAGGGGTTTAAAGATAATGACCATTTTATAATTTTCAGTCCACATTAATTGTTCGTATAGTATTTCACTGGATGCTACAGAAAATACATTCTTTATCTTTCTGGTGTATTTTGTGCCTTGCAGAGGCATAGGGCAGAGGCTTCGTGCACACGTGTGCCCCGGGAGAGCACCTTTGCGGTCGGTTGCAGGATGCGGGAGGATGACAGACTGACGTCATTGGGACTGACGCAGAGCCAGAGCAGCAGCAGCATCACTACAGCCGACTACAGCCCATAAACTGTATCTACAGCCGCGGGTTTGCGCATTGAGCATTCTCTAGGCCACACGAACGGTAAGGACACCACCTGTTTATATGCACTTCAGCTGTCTATTCATGCGTAGGGACTGGGTTTTTGTTGAGGCCTATCATGCACCATCACTGTGATTTGTTGATGTTATTGTTAGGTAGCCAAAGCTAGGCCTATTAGCAGTAGTCTATAACTGCATTCTAATGTCACTAGCATATGTTTTACATCCCTATATATTGTCCCATAAACGTTATGAATAAGACGACATGACAATCAACACAACCTTTAATCAACGCCTTCTGATCCCGCAGAATCACATTAATATGCAACAACAATGTCATATGGTAGCTCTTTTGATGTGAAGGAAGTAGAGTAGGGTAGCCTGTCAAACAGTAGCTCTCTCTTGCTTCTCGTTTTAGATATCAGATATATCATATTTGTTACATAATTCATACTGCTGCAGTATGCCATCATTACCAAAAGTATTTTACATGTATTAATCTGTATAGAAAACTTATTAAAGTAGAAGTATTTATCAAAATAGTTAGAGCTAGACGATATGGCAACGAGTTCAATCTAATTTGTATTTTCTCCTTTGGTTGACTACTTTTAAATGGATTTTAAATGAACTGTTTAATGTAAAAGGTTAATATTCGAATATCAAATACATTATCCTCCTACATACCGATTTCACAATTTTGTGATTTCTCACATAATTTCTCACCAATTTTATTAATTTGATTTATTGCCCAGGCTTATTTCAAAACAATTACTTGTTAGTGTTTCACAATTTTGTATCAATTTGCATATATTCTGTATGGAGTTTGCTCATTCTAAATGATATATAATACAGAAATTAGTGTTTTATTTATAATAAATAGAGCTCAATAGAGCCCAGGAATGATCATATAAAACTAGCAGTTTCTCATGGAAATCTGTCATTTAAAGAAACAAAAGCTATCAAAAAATCCCTATAAACATCTAGATCACTGCTCAATTATTGTTTGTGCTCTGAAAATCATTTTTAATTGGCTCTAAAGGTTTGTGTCAGATTATCATCAATTAGATGAGCTTGCTGTTAACGCCAAAATGCTTTGCATTTATAGCACAATCCCTGGTCGGGTCAAAGTAAAAGAAGAGCCACTGGAAAGTCTTTGTCCCTGAGTCCTTGCCTCATCGTCCCAATCCTCTGTCCTTTGTGCCCCTGTGCTCTCATGCTGCCCTGCACTAACACTATCTCTGTTCCACCCCTCTTCTCACAGTCCTCCCTGTTTTCTCCTACTGCCACACAGATAAACAATACGATGGCCACCTCCTCCTCCACTCTGGATGAAGATGAGAGTTTGAAGGGCTGTGAGATTTTTGTGCAAAAGCACAACATCCAGCAGATCCTCAAAGAGTGCATTGTGAACCTCTGCATCGCTAAACCTGAGCGTCCTATGAAGTTCCTGCGAGAGCATTTTGAAAAGCTGGAGAAGGTTGGTCTTGTTGAAATTGTTGCTGCTGCATGTTTGAGCAGACTGTTTGAAAATCTGCTTCATGTACTAAAGAAAACAATGTATTGTGCACATATTGAACTGTGTTTTTGACACAATTCTCTCCTTTTCCTCTTCCCCTGATATAACAATATCCTTGCCCTTTTTCATCATATGGACAACAGAGACAGTTCTACCAAACAAAAATAAGTCTTAACGTTAATGTTTTTTCCAGCGTTGATCCTAACTGATCATGAGATTTTCTTGACTAATTATTGTTTTCTATTATTTCTTCATGATCTGAAATAGGTCACAAAGGTGTAAACCCTGGAGCTTTACGGCTGATTTTAAAAACAGTAGTTGCAATTGTTTGAGCACCATTCTGATCAGCTGTTTAGCCTTTAGGGACCGTCTTTATGTGAAGTTTCTGCGTATGTGTTTGGACATGTGAGAGTCATAAGTTAAATTTTCACACACACAGGAATAAAAATACAATCAGCCCTTTACCGATCTTATCTTTTGTTAACTATTTGGGGCTGGACAGCTATAGGCTCTTGTCTTTGAGTCTGGATGCTCCTCAGAGACACTTCATATTGCCAGTAGAGGTTATTAGAAAAGACTTATGCTGAAGGTAAGAGTTTTCTTGAGCTGTTCCTCACTGTATCTTAAGGTTTAATCTTTGTGACAAACCATTATCAAAGACTTTGAGCAGATACAAGACATTTACTAGAATGTTATTCTTTTAGTAAGGCTGTCTGAATACTAAGAGCTTGTTTTGTTATTGCAATAACATTATTACAATATTGTAATATATATATAATATAATTACATTATGGAAAAAAGTTCTGGCATCTCCCAGCGTCGTTAATCAGTTATGTTAGTCAAAATTGGTTTACATGCAATATCCATCCACCTCATTAAAGATTTTTGTGAATATTCAAATGCTCCTTAACACCATTTCTCTTTTTCAAGAGGGAGAATATATTTTATTAAAAAACATAGTTATCAGCCAGGCCATGTTCTCCCAGTTTTCTGTGCTTGTTTAAAGTAGTGGACTTGATTTATATATGCGTAGTAATGGCAATTTCGATATCATCCCACTGAGAATCAATTCGCTGCTCTCAGCGTTGCTGGAACATCAGATAGACACCTCTTCAAAATGGTTTCATATGAACAAAAACCACACAATTTTATGGCCAGAATCTGCTTAGTTTGTCAGAATGTAATTGTGGAATTGCTATCTGCCTGTGCTCATGCTTGAATGAATATTTGACGCAGCTTTTATTTCAATTTTACGATTTAATCTGCTGTAATAATTACTATAATATTGTTGTCAACATTTGTTTAGAAGCTGTGACAGTCCAACAACATGGCAAAATGTTGTATTTTTACGATCCTAGATTTATTCACTTGTGTAATTTTCTCCTTACCCCAATGGTAAAAAGTTCTTATCAGAAGCTAGACACGATAATGAGTAAAATAATCATTTAATAATAATAATAATAGTCTTAAATCCTGGGAAGTTAAAACATGGTTGGGACCAACATTTTTTAATTCACTATGAAAATAAAACCAAAATAGCTGTTTTTAGCTCCCGTTTCCTACTGACATGAGCTGTCTTCTTATGTCCACTCCTCTGCCAGGAATTTCGGAGTTATATTTGACAGTACTCACAGGATGGACGAGCAAATCAATTCTGTCGTCAAAGCGAGCTCCTGCAGCTTAGAGTCTTGAGTGAAGCCTATATTCCGCCCAGTGACTTGGAACGAGACACCAACCAAGTTCCCACTGTTTTATATTTGACATGTATTTGTGTGTATTTCAGACCATTTATTTTCATTGTTATCCTTGTCCATGCTGCTTTGGAAATGATTTCACATTCTAAAACATGAAATCCCAATAGTCCCATTTATTTATTGTTTATTTGGTTGGACAGTGCATGTGAATGAACACACCTCTCTGGATAGTAGATTTGGGCTAATTTGCATACCTTGGTTTTATGGTAATATGGTTTGTTTGATGACAGTAGCACTATGTCAGTGCTTATTTAACAGCTTGTTATAGAAAGTCAGGGGTCTAAGCAGTGACCCAGCCTTCACTGCACTCCTCAGCCTCATTTAGGACAATCAGACCCCCAACGTATATTAAAATAATCTTGCCTCATAGTCACATAAATTGTCATCCTGAAGCTATTTCTTGCATTTGTATATTGTTGTGAAAATCATTGTGAAGTATATTATAATATACTCTTAGATTTTGTGTGGGTGGAAGGAAATCTCTGTTCCCTAATTCTTTTCTTCAGTAATTGAGATAAAAGCCTTATTATACTGGACCATTTGTGGTTTGCGTTTGGGTGTGTTCACATTAAAGTATAACTCAAAAACTAAAATGACCATCTAAAGCCCTATTCGCACAGGATTAGTATTACCTGTGCGACAGTGGCTCAGTTGGTAGAGCATTGGCCTTTGAGCCTGAAGGTCGTGGGTTCGAGCCCACCGTAAGACCTACTTCACGACTCCCTCTGATGACTGCTGTTGTTGTGTCCTTAGGCAAGACACTTAACCCTACTTTGCCTGAAGCCCCCACTGAAAGATCTCAGCTCCTGTGGACTCACCACCTGCAGGAGGATCAGTGAGAGGCTGGTGCTCTGTGTACTGGGTGGCATCTCTTGCCACCCCCCCGACCCAGAATGGATTAAGGGGAAGAAAATGGATGGATGGATGGATAGTATTACCTGTATCCCTTGCAAACCTGCATGTCAGTGATTCTGATCGCTACTGCCGCCTTCTCTTCTTTCTGCGTTATTTTTTTGTCAATATCTTGCGCCTTTTCATATCACTTCCTGACTCGAACATTGGAGGCTGCGGTAGAAATGTTGATTTCCAGTTTTGAAGCTTTTTTAGCAGCAAACGACGGCTTATATACATCGTAAGAGCAGCGAGTGACGGGCGCCTCTTTTCAGGAGAGGAGAGCTGCGTCTAAATACAAGTGACGTGTGCGTGGATCTAAGGACCATCAGCACAAACATGTTCCCATGTGTTTTGACTTGAGCCGCGTCACTGCGAGGATCCTTTGGGCTGCGTGAAACAGAGAGACTCAAACACGTGCGGCCATTATGTGTCCGTTATTACTGTATGTCAGTGAAAATACAGTATGGTCATTTACAGACATTGCTTATCTTGTGTGAATGCGCTGTTAGACGTACTCTGCGATTATCACAAATTACCAGAGGTCCACATGTAATACTAATCCTGTGCAAATAGGGGTATAGATTAGAGAAAACGTTTCAAACACATATCAAAGAGATAATGTGGAAAAAATCTAAAGAAAAGATTGACAAATACATTTATGGCAATTTTTTAAACAACCAGATCAGCCTCTGATTTGATCATTCTATTGTGACACCAGTTACATAGAAAATAAGAGGTCCTCAGTCTGAAAAAGCGGCAGATGAACTCCCTCAAGATTAACATGGCGATCAGTAAATCACCTAATTTAAAATAAATATTTTTTTCAAATAATAATAATACAAATTTAAATGACCCTTGAAAAATGTGTAATGGACGTGATGGTTTCCGTCAAAAAAAAATCTAAAAATTAAACTTGAAGGAAAAAGATGATGGTCTGGTTTACTAAATGAAAGTAATGACTAATGTAAAGAACTTCTGCGTAGCTCATTCCGTCAAAGCATTCCGTTTGTTACACAAATACGTAAACAGAGCCGCTATAGGAAACTTGACCAATGTATAAAACAGTTCTCTTCTAGGAACTACTAATGGACAGAAGAGGTATTTGAATAAATGAAAAACATAATATATCTACTGATTATTAAAATCACATTTTTGGCATTCTGTCACACTTTTGTACCCTTTAGTGTGAACAAGTTAGTTTAACAAACTCACAGCACAATCCTAATCTGCATACAATGGTGCTGTATATTTTGTATAATACATGCATTAATCGCATAAATCGCACAGTATAGCTGTGCGGCTGTTGTGGTGGTGTCTTTTGAGGCTCTGTAATGGTGTGGAACAGTGATGAGTGGACTTTAAGCCGGGCCGGTGGATGGGCGCTGTATGCTTCATTACCAGTGTGTGCTTTGGCTTGTGTCGGTATTGTGTGAGCTGGTGGAGCGCCCTGTTGTTTGTGGTTCACTGCACGCTGGAGCAAGAACATGTCTCCAGACAGGAGCCACCTAAGGTTATGCTTTATAAGGTTTGAATATTTCTGCAAAAGTCCACAATGCATTATTTGGAATGAAAAAGATTGGGGACAGACATTCAGAGTGAGTGATCGATAGTCAAATCAGAACTGCACGTGACAGGAAGTGCTGCATTTAATTACATTCATCATGTTATGAGCGTCTATAAGAGTCAAGCTGATAATGTATCACTGCTAATAATAAACAATATCAAATAAACATAATAAAATCCATCCATCTTTTATGCATTAGTGTATTATGCAACTTTTGTATCTGTATTTGACCTTGTAGTGACCCAGTGGCTGTAAGATTTACCTTTTGATCAGGGCTGTGTCTAGAGTGCTCCAGGATCAATTGTTTTGTAGGTTTCCTATAGAGAGGGCGTCCCAACTCTCACCTCCACCTTTCAAACAATTAATGCTATAGAATCCTAAAGACCACCGTGATAGCGGCCATGCTGTTTTCCACATAAAGAGTTGCATAACGCCCTTAAGTTGTTGAAAGTCCTGCAGTGCAACACAGAACAGGGAAGTTCAGAACAGAAGAAGATACTGCTTTCCTCACTGTAGATTCTTAGCATTTTAAAAAGTGTGTGGGCGCCACATGTCAGCTGTCAGTCCAGTTGGAATCTGTGGTTGCACAATTGGATTCATTTAAGTAACCTTGAACCACGACACCATTCAAACATTTTCACCTGCTTGTGGAGAAGTGCACCTTTTGCTTGGATACACGTGAGCTATTTCTTGCGCATGTGTTTTTTTTCGTTCACTGAAATGAATGACTGTCCTGTGCGCAGTGTCCTTCCAATGAATAGTTCTTTTTTTTTAATACAATTTGTGTCTCTTCTCTGATCATTTTGGCACCTTGCCCACCTCGCCCGCAGGAAGAGGATTCCATGATTCTGTCAGACCAACAATAAAACTAACCCCTGGTGTGTATTATACACATTGTTACATGTTCCATATGAAGTGTGCACAAGCTTAAATGTAGGTTCACTGGGGCCTTCAGGGAATTAGTACATTTTATCAATGACTCCTGCTGTTTGATCTTTATCACGATCTCTTTTTTCTTTTAATATTATAGAAATGTTCTCTCAAGAAAACAATCAGATTAGATTTAATGAATATTATACTACAGATATACTTGTCAAAGTCTGTGTTGATGCCCTCCAGGGAGTGGGGAAATAGAGCACTGTGTGGTACAAAACACTTAGAGTGACGTCATAGGACCTGAGCTTATTGATCTAGAACTGAATTTTGGGCAAACATTTTGAGTTTTAAAACATTTCAAGGGGATTTTTTAAGATAAAAAGCAGAAAAATAAATAAACAAAGAAATGCAGATGTTTTTTCCCTCCATTGTCCATGGAAGCCACAAACACATGATACAGCGTCAAATAACTGTTGCTCATAGGACACATTGTTTCTGTATTGCAAAGTTAAAATATCTTTTCAAGAGGAAGTCAACATAACGCTATTACATTTCTGACAAATATTTCCTGCACACTGAGTTCATGGCAGATGCTGTGTACGAAAAGACTGACACGGCCTGTTCTGTCATTTGAGTCACTGTGGCGAAAGGCAATCTGTCAACAGGCGTCACCGATGTAGGTGTGTGAGACACTTAGCTTCCTGCGCACTATCTCCATCAACTATTCAGGATGCTCCTAGTCCGTGGTCGTCATAGCGACGAAGGGGAAGCGAGAGGAGGCAGCCTGCTCGCTGCGCCACCTGATTGCGTGTGCGAGCGAGCAAGGAGAGGGAGAGGGTGACAAACGGGCAGAGCGCTGTACAGGAGCCATGGAGACACAGGGTTTTGGTCCCAGTTCTCGACTTTTTTGTTAATTTGTTTGGAAGTTTGGAGTTTTGGGATTCTCTATTTACTAAAGCTGGATGATGGTGAAGTGCACTGACTGACGTTGAGGGCACGTGTCTTTGAGATGGGTCCATGTGTGTTGACGTTGTGAAGAGTTGATGCCTGTAGATCTGAGGGACACAGCAGGCCTGGATAGAGGTCCTTCATGCAATGGTAAATAACTTCTGTATAGTTTACCAATATATAAGTGCAGTAGACCTTTTAAGTCATCGTCTTTTGTAATGGTTATGTGATTTTATAGGGCTCAAATGCTCAGTGTCTTGGTAGTTGACAATGGTTTATTGAGGCGAGAGCATTGTCCTGCTGTCTGTCTGCGAGGTTGTGTGTACGACTGTGGCAATGCTGCCTGGTTCAACCTTCCCTCATCCCCTCGTCTCATGCAGCTGCTTCTGGCCGTGTTCCCTGTAGCAATGAGTCTGCGTAAGCATATTGTGGATGTGTGTGTCCTGAACTAGCTTTGCTTTTTTTGTGTGAGATCTGCATTACTGCATTGTAGAATTTTTGTTTTAAAAAGGATGAGAGGAAACGCCAAGGGATGCTACCTGAAAAGTGCAAGGGAATACTGTTTGAATCAAAGCTGATACCAGGACCAGGATGCAGGGTTGACAAGTTGTTTTGTGTTTATTTTTGAGTGCTCGCTTCACTTCACTGGGAAGAAGGGGGCATTTTATTATTGCGTTTCTCACAGGGCTTGAACTGTCTTAATGATAGCAGTTGTAGCGACCACTATTCCTCCCTTTGTCTTAAATAATTCAGTAATACAAATGCGGATACTGTTTGGCACCATTTTCACGCATCATGTTTTGTATGTTTAAAAGTGACAAGTTCGATACTAACGGCTTATTAACCGAGCGCGAGGTCTGTATGGAGGAATATCAGACCGCGGCCTTAATGTACAGACCAAGCCGTGGCGAGGTCTGTGCAAAAAGGCCAAGGTCTGATATTTCTCTGTACAGACCGAGCAAGCAAGGTTAATAAATGTTTTATTATATGACTCTCGTCTGTGTCTTTACCAATTTGTGAAGTATGTTCATGTCCGACTTGATTTTGTGTGATACGGGCTGTGGACCGATTGTCATGGTAACGGTCCGTGGAAAGATATCAAATGTGATAAGCGCTGTTCAGACCAATTGTCATGGTAACGGTCCGAGATGGGAAAATATCAGACCGCAAATCAACCAATCAGAGCGCGCGTACGGTCCAAGTCATACAATAAACAGCGTTATGTTGTTGATAGTGCTGATCAATCTTTTTCAACTTATTTTGTTTTTTGAAAAGTTGATAACATAATCCAAACAATTTCATTCATTGTGAATTACGTGATTTGACTGACATTATTGGTTGCAGAAATAAATTGATGGAGTAAAATCAAATTGAGTTGTGTTTGATTGCTGTAGTTCTAGTTCTTGAACCCCTTTTGTAACGTTCCAAATATAGCCGTATAATAACCTTGCACACATATACGGTCCCCATGTTTCACTCCACAGTGTGCTGACCTACCTGTTATTACTGCATTATGTTAATGTTTTAATTAAGGCCCAACTAAATAATTCATCAGCCGCTGTGTTCGTCTTTAGTATGTGCTTGTGTTGTCTTTTTGCTGCATGTTCAACCCCCCAGTTATCAATATTTAAAGACCTCTTTCAGTCTAAGGCAATTGGACATCCACCCTTGCTAAATTTGAAACTATGAGAGTTATCTGACCTGCTTGGAGGGGAGAGAAAGCGTCAGCTCCTGTGCATGTGATTATTTCTTCGGCACAAAGATGATCAAATGGTCTCAGATGACTGCTGGCCTAAAGCTATTTGTTTCATGTGCCTTTTTTACAGGAAGAATGCAAGCAGATTATGGCACGACAAAAATCTAACAGCCAGTCGGACTCTCATGATGATGAAGTTTCACCACCGCCTCCCAACCCGGTCGTCAAGGCACGCCGCCGCAGGGGAGGGGTCAGCGCCGAGGTCTACACCGAAGAGGACGCGGTCAGCTACGTGCGCAAGGTCAGTATGTGGAGATGGAGGTGGTGACACTGAAGTGACTGTGGTAGCATCTAGGAAAGACAGAGATGGCTTTATTAACAAAACGTGGAAAGAATTTTGGACTGGAAGTGAAAAAGGCAAACAAATACATTGAAAAGTGTCTAACCCCAACCCTATCTGTGGCCAAGAACAAGATCCTGAGTTCTTAGTGAGGACTATGAGTGCATTTTGTGGTCAGATGTATCACAAGAGGCCATAAGAGGACAACAACAAAAATCCAAAATTGCGGAAATGGTTCCAAATGGTTGACAACATGTATTATTTGTCGGAGAAAGCTTTTCAATCGCTCAAAGTAAAAGCCCATTACAGCAGTCGTGTCTTTGTTGAGACTTCCATTAAATGTCAGGTGCACTGATTAGCCAGAAAGCTTTTAATGGCTACTCAAACGCACCTCTCTCGAGCAACGGGGACGATTATGATTGCAAACACACCCTTGATGATGATTATAATGCGGCTTTACAAAATAGATTAATCAGAAGAAGATTATAGAAAAAAAATGAAAGGGTGTTAAAGTGACTGTAAGCACAAACAATCTTATGTCATACCGTTATGTTCCATTTAGTTGAACGTGGTCGTATTAATTGCAAGGTATTGACACGGCAGCTTGAAGACCACTGTCACCACACTGTAATCTGGGAGCACTAGAGCATAAGGTATGTGCGATAAACTGGCATAGCCTCAGATAATACAGTCAAATAAAAACAAATGTCCATGGTAACATCTCAATTAGACAAGATGTTTGTGGCATCGTAAAAGTGCTTCCTGAAGTTGATAGAGATTATGATTTTGTATGATCACTTACAAGTATACTGTTTGTGTGACAGTCTAGAGCTGCTGTTACTCTACAGTACTCTTAGTCTACTTTTAAACTAAATAACTGCACTGCTCCGAGTTGTTTAATGCACTCATATCATGGTTAACTCACAAACCAATTATATACATGTATTACAAATCATCTATATCTTATCATCTACCGTCTAAAAAAAAAACATGTATGAGGAAAGGAACTGCTTTATGTGCCAAGAGCCAGCAACTGTTGCCATGACCACAATGTAGATATAAACATATATATAAATATTTAGCATGTTTGGCAACTTAATTTATCATGCGGATGTACATCAGACCTTTAAAATAACTTTATAATCCAAACTGGAGGTTAACTGTTGGTGCTCAATAATGTGTGTTACTATGGTGATATGCAACCTGTAATTTAATATGAGCTTTAAACATTAACAATCTCTGACCATAATGTAATTAGTTTTAGTTTTAGCGCATCTGTGATCATAGTTTTAAAGTAAAAGATCATTTTAAGACAAGATAGATTCACAAGTATTCTCACAGCAGCACGGACCATAGTGTTACAGTATCAATTTGAATATTTTTCTTGCAATATTACAAGGCACGACTGATTTTAATTTAATTCGGAACAGCGCTTTAGTAATTACATTTTTGTTCCACTTAATGCATTCTATACAGTAACTGCTCATTATTTTTTCGTTTTGGTTTAACACTGCCTTATACCTGTCCTGATTTCAACTTTATGCTCCCAATGCGGTTGTCAAGAATCCCAATAATGGATGAAATGTTTAAAAAAACACCCTCCCAGGGAACGCATGTCCTCCAACTGCATGATTCCGGGTCACCTTCCTCGTCTCTGAGCTGGAGTGATTTATTGCAGATGTGGTGGTGCATGGTGTACTGTATTCGTAGCATCTTGTTCATAGAGCCGTGTGGTTATCCCACTGCAGAGACATCTGTTGTGTGTTTATTACAGGCCGACCCCTCCTCTTCTTTCAACACATAACGCATACATGCACTTTGTATGCTTCTTTTTTCTTGTCTTCAACCCACACCATTACTAGTCCATTTATAAATCCCTATGAACTATATTTTACAGGACTTTTACTTCTGTCTGCCTCCAGTGTTTAAAGTCTTTCTTATATTACTGTAAGGGGAGTTAGACGCAGACTTCTGTGGCTTTTTTGTGGCCTCTTTCGCACACATATTGCAATGCTCTGGATACATGAAAATGCATGTTTTATGAATGAGTCCAGGCTGCTTGTGAATTTTAAGAGCTGTGTGACATTTTGAGCATAATCCCAGAACAGATGGGCTTTCCCAAAAATACAGACGCACGTGCATGATATTCCTTTCAGACTTTGCCAATTGAGTGCTCTCTAATTACTGATTTTAGGGAGCGTTTGAAGTCGAGCTTATGTGTTTATGCTGGTTTGTTTCATGTGTCCACCTGCACCCAGGCTTAGTAATATGAGTCCATATTACTATAATGGATATTACTGCTTTGTCTGCACAGGTGATCCCCAAAGACTACAAAACCATGACGGCCCTGGCTAAGGCCATTTCCAAGAATGTGCTGTTTGCTCATCTGGATGACAACGAGAGGAGGTACTTTTGCAATGCCATTTTTAATGCAGTAATGATGTGCGGTCTGGGGGATTTACTGTTTGTGAAATAGACAAACTTTATATTCACTAATATTACCCTTTTCATGTGGCCATGCTTTTATACGAAAGCATGATCCTGTTAGAACTCTGCAGCTAAGCAAGGCATGGCCTGGTTAGTCCTGTGATGGGTGACCTCTGGGAACAATAGATAGATAGATAAATACTTTATTGATCCCGACGGAAATTGCGCTTAAGTCCCTTGCTCACATTTACACAAACACAGCAAGATAAAGTTAAAAGTAAAAACTGTCCATCACAGGGCAGCTGCGGCTGTAAAGTACCGAACTGTTGCTGTGTCCTTAGGCAAGACACTCAACTAACATTGTCTGTTCTGAGTCTGAGTGTGTGAATGGTTGGTTGTGGTTGGAGGGGCATCGACGATCTCTTCTGTCACTCTGCCCCAAGGCAGCTGTGGCTACAGTAGTAGTTTACCCTCACCTTATATGGAGTGAAAGAATAATCTCATTTAAAATGTCCAAAATAGTGCTACATAAAACATAGTTATTAACTGTTTCAGATTGGCAGATCCGTCAGATTATTAGGGCTGTAACTAACTTCATTAATTTGACAAATATTCATTTAATTAATGCATTGGTACTTTAGAACATAGATATGATATTTCATCCCTATAGTTATTGCCTATTGGTAGAATAAGTATTCTCTTGCCTTTGAAGTTGTTGACAAGCCTCTTTTCCTTTTTAAATACGTTTAAATTGCACTGGGTCTGATGACATGTGAACAGTGTGAAGTGCTGCTCCATCATTGTGAATGCACTCCTTTGAGAGTACCTTTTGTTCCATGAGTCTCCTGTGACCACTGAGTGCCACTGTTGCCTTCTTGGCTTCGCAGACGTCTGGAGAGGGGTTCATGAGTGGGACACATGTGGAAGGGGTCCTGGCTCTGGAGAGGGGCCAACAATTGTCTGCATGTTGTGTGTGGTTGCTGTGGCGACCTGACAAGTCGATAAGAGTGGTGCAGCATATTCTTTCATAGATGGATCCAAATTGATTTTATGGCACTGTGCATCGTCGTCTTCTTTGGTGATGTCTAGTCTGGCCCTGACGCAGAAGGGGGGCACAGTTGGAATGTCTCAGGTGTCTGCTGATCCCGTCTGCCACTGGGAATAGTGTTTCATTGGCGGGGAGAATCCATTATGCCGTGTGGAGAGGAAACACCGGAGCTTTCCTGTCGGCTAAAGCCTTGATGGACCAAACCCAAAACGCGCTCTTTCCAGTCTTTCGTCAGCTGACAATTCACCACGCTCCCCGGGCACAAGCCCCTGATTGCATGTGTCGGAACGGTCCCAAGTGGTGCACGGCGGTGATGCGTCTGGACAGAGGAGAGGCCGTACACTTGGGTGGTTTATGTGGATGATTAGATGACTTCATGTCGCAACAAACTAAAAATACAGGGATCTAATTCAGTCAGATGTTCTGCCATGATATGTAACATGCTGTCATCGCCATGTTCAACTACATCTAGTGAAATCTGGTTCTCTAGTTTTTCTTGGAATGTTAAAGGCTTTTGAAATGAAATTAAGAACCTAAACCTATAGAATGCAATGCAATTGAAAAAATAGTTCATATAAAGTTCTAAGTGAACATATTAACGGACACATATGATGCTTTTTGGATTGAGTACTAGGCTCTAATGCACATATAGATCATTATCCAGAATTGTGTTTAAAGCAACTTAAGAATAGAAACAAGTTAATTGACTTCCTGTTCAAAAAATGTTAAACCTTATAGGAAAGAAAGAAAACTTTGGTAAGCTAATAGCAAGGGGACACTGTTAGACTCAGATTCAAACCAACGTCCCTTTAAGTGATTAGAGAAAATATTCCTGCTTTTTTGGATTCCTGAAGAACAAACACTCAAGCTCTCAAACAGTGATCTGAAATGAAAGATGGAGTCATGGATCGACTGTCGTTTTCTCATTCATTCCATTCTGTGTTTTTCTCTGTTTGTGAGCTGGTCATATAGCTCTGCAAATGTTCTTCCTGGCATTGACCCGACAGTGACTATTTTGGCTGAACATACTGTATATATGCATCTCATCAGACCGGCTCTTTGAACAGATCTCATGCCCACTCTGAAGTCTGCTACCCCCCCTCCCTCCCTCCCTCCTCTTTCCAAACTAGAAAAAAAAAACGCTGCTCATTGGACACTTTTCCAATGCACTATGGCACGTATAATTGAGATGTACATGTTGATAAATGCCAGATCTATGTGTGTCTCGTGGAAATATCATATGTGATTAGTCAGTCAGCAGTTATGTAAGCCGAAAGCCACACAATTTGTTCCCCCATTAGCACTATATTATTCTATCATCCCCTTTCATAATGAGAGCGCCAGAACAACAATGGAGGCCTTTTTGTTTCTGTGGACTCTCCCTGGCTTACTTTTCACTCTCTGGACTTTTGTCTTCACTGTGTGCCCTCTTTTTACTTTGGTGTGATTCTTCCATTTTATAACACAAACACACATGCACAAGCAAACATGCACACATCCTGCACTACAAAGCCAGACAGAGATTCATTATTCTCCCAAATACTAAACTGGTTCGCCCCCATGTTATCTAGGCACTGTGCGGCCTAGATACAGTATCCCTAAGAATGTTCATTTTGTCTGCTTTTGACTTTTTAATGCCGAGGTTCAATAGGTTGTAGTAATAATTAATAGCTCAATAAGTACCAAGCAGTTATAACGGCCAGACATGCATTGCCTTTTTTTCTTTTCATTTTATCTCAAGTTTCTAATCGTCCTCCTACACTGACTCAAGCTGTAAACGGCTCCCTTGTGATAAAAGTTGATAGTTTTAGGTGCATGCGTGCGTCACAGCAGAAAGGTCACTTCCACCTCCAGACGTGGTGGTTTTTGCATGTTCTCCCCGTGTCTGCATTGATTTCCTCTGGATGCAATTATAAAGCGCTTTGTGACGCTTTGTGCAATATAAATACAGATGACTGAGGCAATGAAGTGATTTAAAAGCTGTCAATCAAAAATACAATGCGTTAGAATGAATGAATGTGTTATGTTTTCAGTTCACAGTCTGATGCTTTGCAGATTTTGCTACATTATGAAAAGTTTGATTTTGTTAATACGGTCAGGAAAAATAAGTGTAAAACTTCCGCCTTGAGTAGATGCAAATAACAATAGCAAATTTATACATGCAATTTTTTTTTATATCTTTGTGTTTTTGCTCCTTTACATATGATTTTAAAAAAAATAGCAAAGTAGTAAAAGATACATTGGATTATATTGTTGTTTGGCTGAATGCAACTTGCAGAACAGAACTTGATGCAGACCTCATTATGCCTCGGTATCTGTTCGACCTTGGCTCTATCCTAAACAGAATCCTGAACTTGTGCCATGGAGGAGCTCCCAGCAGGCCACGGGGCGGACCTCTCTGCCCATTAGCTCCTATAATGACCTCATTACTCTATGATTTTCCCCACACACTCTCTCACACACACACACACACACGCACGCACGCACACACACACACACACACACACACACACGCACGCACACACACACACACACACACGCACACGCACACGCACACACACAAATCAGATAAGCGGGCAGCAGGTGTTTAATTTCACATTGTGTTAAGCCAACAACGGTAACACCCAAGTCAGCCCCATAGCCACCTGTCTCAACTTATGTAGTTTACTCAAATTATCAATTTTTTTACGGCACACATCAGACTTTTGGTTTAATTTGTATGTATTCAACTTTTTCCCAGTTGCTTCCTTCAAATACATTGTATCAAGTGCAGTTTCTCATCTGACTTCCTTGTGATATTTGTGTTTATTTTTGCCTATACTTGCGAGCGTCTTGGTAACTGACCTTGAAGTGCCTGTCCAAATATTACTACAATTATACGAAAAACACATTAGTGGCTTGAGTAAATGATATCACTTTTATTGTCTGGTGCGGTGTCCTCTGGAGATTTCTAATGATGCAATCATTCACTTATACACACAAATGCCTTCCCCTTGGCACTCAAACACAAATGGACACACCGGTGTATGAATAATAGATGGGATCATAATGTGTGTTGATCTCACCACTTTTGTAATGCCCTGGGAAATACTCTAAACTGAAACCACTGCCTCTAACTGTGTTTGTAGAATGTTCAAGTATACTGTACACCAGTCCTCCCAGTTTAAAGTCATCCTAACAAAGCATCTGTTGTTGCAAGAAAACTGCATCAAGATCCAAATTATTTGCCCTAAAATAATGTAACCAGTAGTTTCAAGCCGGTACGACGCGATCCTCTGGTGTCCCTGCTGTAGTGCTTCTCTAATGTGGTCTTTGTGGTTTTTCCTGGAATGAGCTGAGCTTGTAGTCCTTCTCCTAAGACTGGGATTGAAATGTTTTCATGTACTAATTTTTGACTTTATCACAATTTCATTGTTTTTTAAAATCATAATCATTCTCCAAACTGCTGAAGCATATGTTTTAGCATAAATTGATAAATTATCATGCCAAAAACAGTGGAATTATAATGTAAACATTTTAGAGAATTCAATAATGTTTCACTTTGTTTGTACATTTGAAAAAAAAAAATATATATCAAGGAACTACTCTCTTTCAAGCAGTAGCAGCAGCTGACAGCTTGGCCATTGACAGCCCTTGTCACGATTCATAATTTGTTGAGCTTTGGTGATTCTCAAAAATCCATGTCCACATTGATATTCCTCATATTATAGATATTTAAACAATGACTTGAACAATGAACAGGCCTTGAATTGCAAAATAATTTCTTTGCTCATCCTTGTTTGTATTACGTTCCTCATCATTCTGTCATCAAATAACATGTGGGTTGCCAGGGAGAATGTGCAGGGGTGCCACTACTGCCTGCTTTAATCCTCTCATTAACAGCTAAAGTAATGAGTTGATGAAGTGACAGATCAGTTGACCTTTGCTCTGC